ACTGCTTAAGTAAAGGAATGCTGTCAGTACACAGCTGGAAACACAAATTTTACCACAGAAACACGTATCAAACTAACAATGTCTTTATCCATGCTCTCAAAATATTAAAGCATTGTGATTACTTCGTAGAAATGTAAAAAAAAAAAAGTCATGAATAGATATGCTGCATATTACCAAATCTATTTAAGGTTATTTCATGCAATTTGTTGGTATAGCAATCAATAAAACAAATATCAAACAAACAGTGTGTCTTTATTTGTATTCTCAGAATATTAAAGCATTTTGAACACTTCACAGAAATGTTTAAAAAATGATGCAAAGATATGCTTAATACTACCAAATCTATTAAAGGTCATTTCGGACGATGCCATTTTGTCTACTTCGACTCACACGAAGCAGCCAAACTGCCAGGTGGCCTGTCCGACCTTCAGCCCACCAAATACCTCGACGCCCTTATCGACCCTTATTTCGCTACAGAAAACCTGGTATGTGCTGCTTTGTACAGAATGTCACAGAAATTTTTCGGGCGATAATCGCTGGCTGCCGCCAGCCTTTCGCACAATTGTAAAAAGGTCATGTCTCCATGCCCAAAACCAATCCATTGTCGTGTAATTTGAAAGTAATCCTAGAGATGAATTTGACGGCAAAGCGCCCACATTTCCACGTGGCGATAATACGCATGCGCAGAAAGCTCATTTCCTGGCAAATTCAATAATGACGTTTGCGACAACCGACTTCGTTGGGGGCTGAGAGGGGAGGGGATTTTTTTTTTTCGGAGAACGGGCGAAAATCGGTGCGCGTGCAGGATGTCATCCATAAAAATTAAAAAGTATGGCCTAACTGGGATTATTGGTGTGGGGTAGTATCGGTGCGGGGGAGTATTGACATGACCCCTCATGCATACTTACCCTGGACTGCTGTGAGGACTGTTGTGGGGAGCTGAAGCCTCCAGGAGAATCGAACCCTCCAGCCTGATCATAGTTACTGAAACCTAAACAAATACGGTTTAATGAGGTTCATCTTGACAAAACAAGTGTTTTTTTTTCTTTTTACAGACACGAGCCCAGGTTTAAGAAAAAAAACTCTGAACATTTATTGTGGAACCAAACACCTTACGTAAATTATTGGGGGTTTAATTGCTCTGGGGTCATGTAAAAAAGCGGAATATCATGATTCCGCAAGAAAAGCTCATGTCTGTTTTTATCTAATGATAGATTGAATGTAATATTTGCTAATGCCACTCGTTAATAATCACATTACATTTCATTGTTATTATAATGATATTAATCACGACTGATACACTCAGGTTGAAACTTGTCGCAACTTGCGATCGCCAAAACGTTAACAACGGTGGTGAGAATTGAACAAGAAGGGTGTTTCCATCACCCTTATATATTTAAAGGGTATCAAGTAGGACTAAATGTTTGGTCTGATCAGCATAAAACAGTACTCACCACCTTGGTTATTCCACATTATTGACGTTAAGTATGAAAGTCTTATATGGCGGGAAATGTGTGCCTCTCTGTGACCTACTTCGCTGTCCAATGAAATCTCAGCTAATAGGTGAAAAATGACAAATTTTCTGCGGAGTCACATCAGGAAATGTACCACAATTTATTTGAGACATAATTTTTTATCGTATTATTTTAAAGACTTGTTTTTCTTTTTACTTTTCTTAATTCCATACCTAATAGTTTTATGCTTTGCTTCTTATTCTTGCACCAGCCAATGTTTCGTAGTCAGATCTTCGTCTGCGGTACTATAAAGAGTCCCTAGCACTAAGAGTAAGAGGGTACTGGGGACTTTTATCAGTTGTTGGAAATGCCTCCAAAAGCACCAGTAAAAAAGCCTGCACCCAAGGCAGCAGTGAAACCAGCAGCAAAGGGTGGGGCTGGTGCAAAGCCTGCTGCTGGTAAAGCTGCCCCAGGTAGGTAAAGTGACTGACTAGAAACTTATGAGATCACATGCCTTGCATACTTGTACACTGTACATGTAAATGTAGCTACCACAGCAAAACTGAAAGTAGAACTATATGATGTTATTATCAAATGTTATCTCATAGCTTTATGATGTAATTTCATTCACATAGACATATCTGCAGTGATGTTTAACTTCAAGTTTCTTATTGTCTTAGTTATAGAACAAAAATTATATCAGAACAGTTTTGGAGGGAAATTTAAACTTTGAAAGGGGTACATGTACATGTACTAAGAATACCCCGAGTTGAGGGGGGGGGGGGTTAGTTTATTGTCTTTTCATGTTTTCATGTCTCTTCATTAACTGTGACAAGTATCTGTAGATACTACAAATTTTGCAGTAAGATATAAAAAAGATGCTCCATTTGGTTCTTCGTGGAGTCTACAGTACATGAATTTTGGCAATAGATTGATAACCCCCTGAATCTGTTAATTGTTTGTCCAGTATATATAGAATACGTTACAGTTGAGGTTCAAGCAACAGTTAGCATGCAAATATAAATAGACAAGAACACGGATCTTCTTTATTTATTAATTTATTTATAAATTTAATTTGTCAGCAAAGAAAGGTGCTCCACCTGCCAAAGGGAAGGCAGCCAATGCCACAACTAAGGGTGCAGCCACAGAAGCCCCAAAGAAGAAAGTCTGGACTAAGGAGGATGATGCTGCACGTAAAATTCAAACCAAGATACGCCAGTACCTTGCTAAAAAAGTGTTACAGAAGAAAAAACAGGAAAAAAAAGATTATGAAGAACTCATGGAAAAACTGGAGAAAGAGGTGAGCTTAGTAAAAAAAAATTGTTATTATCACGTCTTATTTGAATTTTAATTATTAAATGAATGTTTCTGTCAACTGCCATGTTTGCCGTAAATTTTGGGCATCTGCATAAAGTGTATTGCCCTTCGTTTGCAATAGGCCTTTGTTAAAATGGTGAAAATGGAACAAGAGCAGTATGAAAAAGAGAGGCAGCAACAAGAGGAAGAAAGGAGAAGAAAAGCAGAAGAAAGAAAAAGAATTAAACGAATGTTGGAAGCTGCTTTTGAGGGTGACAAAGATGAAGTTCTTACTGTGTTGAAGGAAGTGAGTCAATGTGTCATATAAGTAAATGGTTCAGTTTGATTAAATATTAAACAAAAGAAATCCAAAATATTCTATTTAGGTGGTTTCTTTGATGATTATCAAACATTTTGCTTCCTTTAGTATATATTTTCCAGAATTTATTTATTTGTATCTCAAATAAAAATTATCAAAAATATTCTTTTCTTGTAAAGAAATAAATTATCAGTAGTATTTTATGAAGCATAATAGCTTAAATTCATTTTCAGTAGAATAATTTTCAAATGGCAGTCATATATCAGAATAATTTTATTCAATTAATATTTTGTCTCAGGTTGCCGATTTAGACAACAAGAATGGGATTGGAAATGATGTAATTGGACGTGGGTTGCGACAGAAGCATGAGTTAGCCATCGTTGAATGTGAAGATGCCAATAATAACACTCCGTTGTCAGAGGCAGCAAGTAAGTTTTCCAATACTTGGAAAATTTTGGTGATAATTTTACTGTTGCACTGCTGTATTCAGAAAATAAAAACTCTAATGAAAAGAATTACATGAAGAATGTTTTAGAAAAATAGAAACTTTATTCTTTATCCAAGAAGGCTATTTTATGACATTATACTGTTTTTAAAGTAAAATTTGATTTTATATTGAAATAGAGGAAAATATAATGGAAAACAGCTTAGATTCCTAATTATTCAGCTACAACTTATCTATTGTGCTTGTGCTACATTTGAACAGCAATATTTTCTAAATTAAGGCGGTGGCAATGTGGACACCATCAAGCTGTTGCTAGAACGTGGAGCAGACGTCAATTCCAGGGGTCAGTTTGACAGGACACCACTCTACAGAGCTGCTTTTGCAGGGCATTTGGAGGCCTGTGAGGTGACCGGATCAGTTTCAAATCCTTAAAAAATTACTTTTCAAATCCATTATGTTAGAAGCATTTGAATTGAATGTATATGTGTGTTGTGTACAAGAGTATAAGTGATTTGTTGTAATATAAATTCTGGTTGCAATAGGATTAATTAAAAATTCAATTTTAATAATTATATGAATTTTTCATTTGCCATACTTTTCCATTTGCTTCTCTTTTAGATAAAAAATATTATTTTATGTTTGAAAATGGGAAAGAAAGAACAGTGATAAACTAACATTTTTTTCTTATTTAAAAATAGGTATTACTACAACATGGAGCTGATCCCAGACTTTATGCTAATGATGGCTCAACTCCTGAATCGGTGAGATCTAATTTGTACTTAAATGATCTATTTTTCTATAGTGTAGAATACAAAAATCTTGATTTGTTGGTATCTTTCTGGTTGTGGTGCATGTATTGCAGTAAATCATTATTCTGTGTGAAAAAAATCTTAATATGCTGATGTCTATAAGTTATGTGGATAATGTTTTGTAACACAATTAAATGTAGTTTAGTAGTAATAATTATAGTGTGCAGTCAGGTGGGACATTAGGTGTCAGTATGTTTATTGTAGCATATATTTCTCAGATTGCATCTATAGCACCAATAGTTGAGTTGCTGGGATCCTGGGATATCTCTCAGACAGAAAACATCCTTGTTAAACTGGAGACTGAAAAGGAGAAGAGAGCTGAAATAGAGAGACAGAGAAAGGCAGCAGAGACATCCAAGTATTTTTTTTTTAAACGGAGTATTGGACTTTTGAAACGTTAAAAAAAAATTGCCAGCAAAATAAGTAAAAGTTTAATTAAAATTACTTTTTGATATTTGATACATGTATTTTTAGTAACTCTCCTCTTTTTTTTTTTTTTTTCAATTACCATACCACTAAAAGTAATGACGATGGCAGGTTGTGGTTTTGGAATTTGTTTCCTTTTTTTACTGTTATTGCATGTATTAGTTATTGACTACCTCCCACTTTATTTACTGAAAATGATATGGATGTTTTTTTTCCAGAATTGAAGAACAAATTAAAGAGGCAGAGAAAGAATATGATATTGCACAAAAAACTGTGAGTTGAAAAGTTACTGATTTACAAAATAGTTTCCCAATTTTTTTTTAGTTTGTCTTGAAATTGATATTAGATGTTTTATGGAGGTGTACTCACTTATGTGGTATTATCTGTGAAAAATGGTGAAAAAGCATAGTATCAATGCATGCATAACCCAAAGAGAGGTGATGAACCAAATGGTTGTGATTTAATAGCTCTGTTAATTGACTGATAAATTCTGTTTCTTTTATCTAGCTTAATAAAGAATATTGTGAAATGAACAAAAGGATCACAGAGCATGACAAAGCTGTTACTGAAGGATTTGCAAAGACAGATATTACTTTACAGGTGGGATGACAGTTTACAGTTTTTCATTTATTTTATACTTTAACTAAACTGGTATATTTATAAAAATTCTGTGGGTAGATATTTTGTATCTGTAATTACTTTTTGAAGAAAAAAAAATTTTTTTTAAAGTACCCTTTTTTAATACAATAAATTTATCAAAAATTTTGTTCACTGACACAGATAAAATTCCATCATGGATTCTTGTTCCAAACTTATCATGACAGCAAGTTTTGAAGACAGATTTTTTTTTAAATTGTGCTATAGATGATCCATGATTCTGAAGCAGATGTGGAGGTTGCAAAAATCAACTGTGAAAAAGCTAGAGAGAAATTAGCTCAACTAAAACTGAAGTTAAGAGAGAAAGAAAAAGGTATGACTTAGATTTTACCTACCTGTTGACTTTGATTTTGAAGAGAGAAAATTGAACATCAAAACTTGCTAGTTGTTTATTTTATCCATTTTATTTAAATTACAAAGTCATTGTATTTATGAGTATGACTTATTTTGGTAATGGAGAGTGAGAGCATATTTCAGTTTAAAATTAGATGAGATTTAGGCATTAAAATGACTGCTCCTTTTTTAAATTGGGAGATAATAAAATTGTGTTAGCAATGACAATTTGTGAATTGCTATAAAAAGTCATATTTGATATGAATATTAGCATCTTTAATCCAATGTTCAATATTTCAGAGGGGATGGCAGAAGAGGATTTGCCTGGCATAAAGGTGAACATCAAGGAGTTAGACGATGTGCTCCTCAGGGATGTAGGCAATAAAATCAAAGAATCTGGCAAGTAAGTGGACACATTTGCTTCACACAAACACAAACTGTTTATTTGAATATAATACAATACAATAAGTTTTATTTCACTTCGGGTAAAAGTTGAAGAGAAACATTAGCTTTGCTGCTTTTTATCAAAAGGGGATTATCAAACAATATTTGCATATGGACTCTAGTATGACAGCGAAGATATACATTTTCTATGAAAAATATCCAAATACTGGTCCTAATTCTAATGCGGAGACAGAAACATTAATACACTTTGGGTTGCAATATCATTAAAAAAAACTTTTTTACTGTTTTCTGGAGTATTGGATCTGAAGTTATTGCTTGTCTTTATGAATGGCTTGCAGGTGGCCTTTGTTGATTGACCCCTCATCTCAGGCGGCGACGTTCCTGAGGTACAGGGACACCAACTACTTGAATGCCTTGAATCCTGCACAGATGGAACCTGAAAAAGTCAGGCTAGCAGTTCTTGGTTCAGTCAGGTAAGAAAGATTTCCCTTTCCTAAAAAAAAAAACAATTTCTATTTATATTTGTCAATAGCAAAATTAGTGTCACATGAACAAAGGTGGCGAATTGTGGCCTGTAGGGTTTCATTTTTGTTTAGTTATATCATCATAATTAAATAAATGTAATTCTATTCTTAACAGTCTCAACCTTATTACATACAGGTACGGGAAGTCTCTTGTCCTGGACATGATGGAGGTAGATATGTTTGACACTGTATCTGACAGATTTGATGAAGTACACAAAGGCCTGATGAATATGATCATGGACAAAAGTCTACTGAAGGATGAGGCGTAAGTTCAGAAAGTGCCAAATTTCATTGGGATAGTATAGTTTGTCACTGGGTACCTTTACATTTTGTAGCTAATAGTAAATACTTACTTTGAAAAATAAACATTACATTAAATTTCATTACAATAGGGTAACATTACTGAATATTTCATACATGCTGTCATGAACCAGTTCAACCTTAATTTACCATATATATGTGTAATGACAAAACCGTATATTCTCTGTTGTAGATACACATGCCTGCTGAGGAAGGGTGATCCCCAAGAATATGACAAGAATAAATTTATAGAAAATAGAGTGCAGAACTTCAAGTTTGTGATTATTACAAAGAACCCTCTTCCACCAGCTGAACTCTTAGAGAGAACATATGCAATAAGAATACACATCAATACCATGTGATACGTGCAGAATTGTTGACTCATTTTTTGTGAAAAATAAGATTTTAATAAGGCCAGACAAAATTTATAAGATGGTTTATGAATATGGCCAATCCTAATTTTGAGGTAATGTAATGCACCTGACCTTCAAATTTAACTGCTTTGCCAGTTAAACATCATATTTTTTTTTTAATAAAAACAAGTTCTTTCTATCGACCCTATATTTGTAGACTACTGTAGTTTGTGTCCTTTGTACGGAAAGTTGTCCCAGGTTAACAAAGTTTGTACATGGCTTAAGCATCCCTCTCTTAACAAAAGATCAAAATCTTAACCTGTAAGTCTAAGACTGGGTTCTCATACTTAGATCGATCCATCTGGATTGACCTAACTCCCTGGGGGTTCCCGCTAAATTGCTATCAGCTCAAGAGGCTTAAATGTCTGTCACGACTACCGAATCAGCTAGGGTTAAAGATAATTACCCCCTAACAGTTTAACAGACATTTGAGCTGGTTAGTTTGATAGCAATTTAGTGAGCCTCCCCAGGGAGATAGATCAACCCAAATATCTGTGGGAATGGTCCCTAATACAGCAATGTCTGAATTTTTTAAAATTTTATTATTATTATTTTTTTTTATTTTATTATTATTATCTTTTTTTGGGGGGGGGGGGGGCATCAACAAACAATAAATGTATCACAAATTCCTTGGAAATTTCTCAGTTAGCAAACATAACTCTCAAGTTTAACCATACAATGTTTACAGATGCAAAAAAATTATAAAGTTTCTGTTTCTTGAAGAAAAGATCTAAAGATATATTGATTGGGAACTTGATTCATAGAAGTACAAGTACACTAATATACAGTTGTGCAACTGAAGAATGATTCTTTTTTTTATAGTAAAAACATTTGATACGTGTATGTCGGGTCCAAGTAAAAACATAAATGCCTAAAACTTGAATATTCTGTATGCATATTAACACAGACAGCTGATAGAAAATTACCATCATATAAGGGGGATTGAAAGCTAGTTTTGTAATAATTGTAGTTTGAATTCATTTGCAATGAATTTATATTAATTTGCTTATTGATATGTAGTAGAGACATTTGTTGTCAGTTTAAGATACATTTGTCCTTTTTAACTTGTTTACTTTAAAAAGAATATAGATTGTAATTTTGAAATTTCTGACTTCAAGAGGTATGTATCTGCAGTAAGAACTGCTCATAAATGTTCTTTTTTTATTCTTTTTAGTGTTATTTTTTTATATTTACATAACTTTGTCAGTGTATTTCTTTTAAACTCAAAGTTCAAAAATGTTTTTAGTTTCTTTAATGTTTACCTGAAAGGCGGCTTAAATTTATTGGTGGTTACAGAACATTTGAAAAGATTTGTATACTTCCAACTTTTTTTTGTAGAAATTAAGCAATATTGTTTCCTGTTTGCTAAAAGACAGTGGTGAATTGATTGTACTAGCATTAAAGATACATTTAGATATACAGTATTACTTGGCTCTTGATGTTGCAACAGTTCTTTTGTGATGCAGTTGATCCGTCCAAATGAAAATACTGTTTTTTGATACATACTGTACTACGGTATAAAAGCTTTCAGCATATTTTCAGATGATTATTTTTAAAACAATTGAAATCTTCTGCTGTGAATAAACTTTGATAAATAAACTTTAAATAACCCTCTATAACAATATCATTTATAATAATTTGTCTTTATTATGTTGCCATTTTGAGACAATAAATATATAATGAACTTTAAGCTTGACCATGGTTTTTCCCTAACAGCTGTTTTTTACAATGATTAATTTTTTTCTCTAATTAAATTTTTTTAAAATATTTTCTCTTAATTTATTAATCCTTCATTACAACACGAATGAACTTATATATAATTAACTCAAATATTTTATATCTTAATGACTAATGGGAAAGTGTTGCAATTACCACTGAAATTGAATTGCTCATTGTGCACCTTTAAACGAAGTCAAAACTGCTGAGGTGCATGTGTCATGCATGTATATTTATGAGTGAGAATTACGTAAGAATAACGAAAGGTTATGTAACGTGTTTATGTAGTCAACAAATCAGATTTTTCTTTGAATTATCGAGATCAATAATAATGATATCATATCTCAAACATGGTAAATTGAACCATTTGGTGTTCAATAACAAGGCCCAGAATAAGAACCTATGTTTGCAAAACGATATTGAGCAATCTGGACACCCAATACCCCCTGGTAGGTGACCTAGTTTTAAAACCGATCCAGTAAATGACCCAGTTCTGCACCGTTGCTACAACAACCGATTACAGCGCATTCAGCGGCTCGAGCTGTCGTCCTGATTTTAACCGTTTTATTTTGTAAGTAACATTATTATGCTGTAGTTTAGAGACTAAATTTAAAGGGTGAGATGTTTCATTAAAGTGATATGAGACATTCAATTTCAAGGACGTCTAAGCTTCGGTCATAAACAACGTCCATGCACTTACTGTACGTCTTGTCTTTGTTAATTTCATTTATTTGTAAATAACTATTCTAATATATGAATATTTGTATGCAAAGTTACCGTCAAATTTTTAAACTCGTAAATCAGGCACACAGACCCAAGGATGCCCCCAAAACCGGTAGCTAAGAAGCCAGCGGCAAAGCCAGCTGCTAAAACTGCAGTATCAGGTGCTAAACCTGGTGCTAAACCAGCAGGGGCAAAAACGACAACAAAACCCACTGCTAAACCAGCTCCAAAAGCTACTGAAACAAAACCTGAAGCTAAGAAAGAACCAGGTTAGTAAAATTATTTTTACAAACCACATTCTTCCAAATGGGGAGAAAGAACATACCAGTATATAGTTTGAAGCCCACAGAATTACAGCTTAATGCCCTAATTTGTACAATTTGTTTCTTCAAATATTCTCAGCAGCAGGGGATGAGGGAGATCGAGTGGCAAAAATATCAAAACCCCTCCCACACCCTTGCCCGTTTTTGATCTCCCAGATCTGCAAGTTTTAACTTAAATTTAAAAAATATTAAATTAAATTTAAATTTAAATTTAAATTTAAATACACACATGATGAAATTGCCAAGTACAGTATGCATGATAGCTATGTCATATGGATACTGTTATAAGACATCATGTTTGCTTTATTTTACCATTTTTTAAGTTCAATTATAGAAAAAGTGGCAGAAGCCCCGCCAGCAGGTATAAACATAAACATAAAAGAATTGGCTGGAGTTCTATTTGCAGAGGAAAATAATAAAGTCCGAGCATCTGGAAAGTAAGTAATAAGCATATTGTGAGACAAAAATAAGAGACAAATAAGTCTCCATACAGAAATTCATATCTACTTGTTTCAGAGCTTCCCACACCTTTTTATTTTTTATGTTTTTATTTCTGTAACGCAAAATGCGTAAGTGAAACAGTTTTTATAAAAAATTGCTTGAAACCCTTTCACTTTCTACATAATGGTTTGCTCTATGAATATACACATACTGTATAAGTACAATTCTAGTAGGTATTGTAATTTGTTCATTTTTTTCCAGATGGCCTCTTCTAGTTGATCCATCAGGAATCTCAGGGACCTTTCTCAAGTACCGGCATGTCAACTACATTGATGCCTTTAACCCCAGTGAAATGGAACCAGACAGAATCAGAATGGCCCTGCTAGGAGCACTGAAGTAAATACATTTTTTGTCCAAATCTCCAGGCTGATATTTTAATTATGTGTATTAAAACATGGTGCTGCTGTTGCATGTAGCATACATGGGCAAAAGGGATAGCGGTTCTCCAAAAAAGTTTTTTTTTCATATAACTTAATAAGTATTATGGCAGAAGGTTATTACACAATTGGGAAGGGGGGCACATTATATCAAAGCTATTTAAAATCACTGCTGCACTTTGAAAATAATTCATAGTTTAATTATTGATATTTTAATTATGTATATATATTTATTAATAAATGTGGAAAAGGTTGGTGTTCAGTGGTGAAAAAATGGTGTAAAATATTGTCAGCCTGTGTAAGAAATATTATGCCAGTATGATATAAATTGAACAGCAAAACGTCAGGTATTGTTTTGATATCTTCCCTGTTTTTACATTTTTATGCATTACAGTCTATATTTTAATTCATTACTTAGGTTTGCCAAAGCCTTAGTTGTGGATATGAATGAAGTGGACATGTTTGATACTGTGGTTACAAGATTTGAAGAAATACAAAAGGGACTTATGGATAAGATTATGGACCAAAGCATCTTAACCATTGACACGTGAGTTACTTGTACATGTAAAGCCACTAGCACCAATTTGTTTTTGATTTCAAAATTATCTTTTACCACTTTCATAAATCCTTGTGTTTTTAATTCTTTATTTTTCTTTATTAATATAAATAAAACATTACATCCTTAGGGTGTGCTTTACAAATTATGTTTAATATATTTTGATATATTTCAAGATTGATAAAATGAATTTAAAAAGATACTAAAAATTATACTAGAATTTTTTGAAAATGTTATTCCTTTGTTTAATATAACAGTTACAAGAGCCTCATGAAGGATGGTGATCCACCAGAATTTGAAGTCGACCCACATAAGACCTACCTGATGGAGGAAACCATGAAGCAGTTCATGTTCATCCTCATTACCAAGAGTCCAGAACCATCTCTGGAACTAAAGAAGAAAATGTTTGTGGTAACAATAGGATAGAGAGATCAGACTGGTGCATTGTGTTTTGCAAAGTCTTCTGAGTGGTGAAAACAGTATTATATTCTAGTTTCTCTCTCTTTTTTTTTTTTTTTTTGATAATGTTTTATGATATTTAGCAAATACTTACTCTCTATTTAAGTTTTAACCTTTATATTTGGTAAATGTTATGGAGGAATTGATAGTTGTAATGTTAAATAATCAAGGTATTATTAAGATTAATATCTGTTTTAGAGTAACCAGGTGCAGGGCTGTCCCATACAGTTCAACTCTAGTCACTATGCTCAGGACTGGAGGGGGGGAGGCCTTTGAAAAAAAATCTTTTCATCCTTATAAATATTAAGTTTGGGGGAGATATTTGAAGAAAATCTTTTCATCTTTACAAAAGCATTAGATTTTTCCTTTCTCCCACTCCATCAGAAGTCTCTTATTTTCCCTTCAATCACCATCTAGGTGAGCATCAGAGACTTATACATCTACACATGAAACCCACTCCTCCGCAATCGTTTTTATCAGTCTAAAGCCCAGATATTGTATTGTATTGAATTAAGGGTGCCAAAATAATGTTAAGAAATAAAGTGATAAAGCTGTTTTACAAATATTTCAGGTCTTTTACTTTAAAATCTTTTTTGTTACTGTTTTGTTTTGTTAAAAACCTCGATAAAAAGTTTTAAAGGGTATTTGTTGTATTTCTAGGCATCTTTATTCCTGTGATCAGCTTTGTAGAAAATATTCATGAAATCCATGAAAAGGTATATACCAGAAAGATTGCAGTGTCACATATATCTTAGGATTTCAACACTTTTTTAAAATGCAATATTGTTGATTTTTTATTTATTGTGTGACTTTATTTAATTCTAGCACAAAAAAATGTCAAAAAAGTTTGCTCCTTGATGATGGGTCAGGTTTTTGATAATTCACCAAGCTGAATTTCTTTTAGATTTATTGATAAATCACAATTCTGACCTGAAGGAGTTGGTTTCTTCAATTTTTTTATTTCCACCTACTCAAAACATGGAAGAAAAAACTTTGCTTAACTTCTTTGTCCTTACACCATCAAGCCACCATAAAACTTTTCAAAGGCCAAAAAAGCTCAACACCTTAAAAAAGTGGATAACAGGTCATGAAGAGGGTATTTTAGCTGTCATACAACTGAGCCCAATGTTGAATGTGAGACCTTGAGGGCATATTACATGTCTCTTTAATGGCCTGGTATGGGACCACCTCAAGACAGAAAAACCTGTGGCAGAACTAGTGTTGTCAGTTATACTTTTTTTAAAAAGCTGGATTGATGTATAGATGCATTCCATCTGTATTTGTGCATTGTTCCACGGTAAATAATGAAATAAACAGTTGATATAAATATCGTAACCTATGTAAGGTGGGCAGCCATGCAAGAACAAAATCCGTCTGATATCATACATACTTTATTCATTTCTAGCATCATACAGCAATGTACAGGAATAACAATGTGTTTATTTGTGTATGCACAATTAAGGCAGTAACAATTCTGGGAACAATAATGTATAGAATAAAGTATACATGCCAACCTGAGATTTCATACATACACAGACAAAGAGTAGCAACTTTTCTATGAGTATAATGATAATAATTGTATTTGTCTCTTATTAGTGATTTATTAAATAATACATTAACAACAGTTTTATCTATTTTATTTAATACTTATATTAAATATTTGATCAGAGCTTAATCCTTTTCCTCTCACAAACATTTATATTGCATGACATGTACGGTAGGTTAGAGAGACTGTACACATGTATATGTACCTGTGTACTGTTTAGTGGTCAATAAAATTTATTACTATTAACAATATTACAATGCCATTATCAAAGACCTAATCCCACATGTGAATTATTACTCTACTGGGAATTTTTTTGAAATTTGAAAATTCAGTAAATACTATGATGTAATGGATGATTATGCCATGGATTTCCTTAAATAATCTCTATGGAACTATTCTACCGTTGAAATAATGAAGTTGATTAATATTTTATGGTTACAATATTGGACTTTCTGTTGAACCTATGCTTGATTAGAATATTTTTTGAATTAATGGAACTGAACACAATAAGGGCGTTTGTTGCACTGAACACAATAAGAGGGTTTCAGTTGAAAGAATTAACGTGGGGCTTACTTTGCCTGAAAAATATAAAAAATATCTTAAAGGTACAGGGGTACGTCATATCATTTTCACGACAATGAAAACAGATTTTGATCGCATTTTGGACACTTTTCCATCAATGCAAAATGGACATTTCGCCTAATTTATTCATCCATTCAACACTCCGCATACAAACACCTATGCGTAATTCAGATTTCACGTATAACAATTAGTGTAGTTTGATGTTTATCCCAGACGTAAAATGCTTATTGTTACCTCCCTAAGGCTAATTGTGAAAATAATTACAGCAGAGCTGTTTTCAATCTTTATCAATTTGAACTTGCATATTTCATAATCATTTGTGACCTATAGATCAATTTAAATTTGCGTAGTCTGTACCCTTGCTTAGAATAAATTTCAATTAAAATTTGTGAAGTAACTAAGCAAATGTACTTATACTCATCAAATTTTTCCGTTATATTGAACAGTTCTTGGCCAGTGGTTGTAAAATAACGCAATTCATGAACATATCCCGGGTGAGGGGCAGGGGGAGGGGCAGTCTTGGAAAAGTTTGGCACACAACAACTAACAACTACTGAAATTTTATCCTCTTAACTTCATCACACCAGCGTTTACATCAGTTTTCGCGTTTGAACTACAAAACAGTGGGGAAGAGGGGAGGGCACCCTTTTAAAAGCGCGTCAGTCGGGTCAAGTCCTCGATCCCTTTCTGCGTTAACACGGGAACTCGGACATCAAAACTCAGCTCCTACACGCGCTCAGGCAATATACTACTCCCAAACGCGCAAGTTTGCAAAGGGCTGAGTGTTCCTTCAGAAAACAAGTTAAAACACTTGTCCCAAATTAATGTTACCCAAAAGTCAACACTATTTTTCTTTATAGATTGTGTATCAGATTCTCAAGACTGCCCCTCAGGGGGGGTAGACACTCTCTCCTGTGATTTCGTATACTACACAGGAATTAATCTGTTTGGCAATGTATAGCTTGGCGTTTTATTTACATAAAATAATGATGAGTGTATGTACTTTACGATGTTTTAAGAACTCTATTGGCACGCTTATATTAAGTGTCTAAGGAGTCTGTATCTCTTCCTGATATGTCTCAAATGTCTAAGCCGGCGTTTCGTTCTTCGGTTCTTAAGCACTTGTTTCCCGTTGACCTTACCCCAGACGCCAACTACAAACGACTCGATCTTGCATTCGTTTGTTCCACGGAGTATCTTAAAGTAACCATCATCTCCCCATTCAGGACCCCAAGAATTTGCACACAACTGAAATTTATAGAAATAAAATTTAAAATAGATTAAAATTGTTTTACCGAAGAATAGCGATTACGCTGCAGATTTTAGCGAATTTAGTGTAAAATACGCGCAGATTATCGTTTACTGTTCCAATACTTTAAATAAAAAACATGTCCTGTCCTAACCCAATATTTGACTGGCTCTCCTGCCTTCGATAGGTCTAGGCCCCACCTGAAGTACAAAAAAGGCTTGATTTCAATATAATTTTAAAATCATAGATACTTATACTGTATGCAACAAACGCTGATTCCCGGGTCAGCTACGAGAGAATATCTTCGTAAGCTATATAGCCAAAATCATATTTAGATTAATTGCAGGTAAAAATATTAATTCTACCCAAAAGTCTTGAACCCGTAGTGCTGTATATGTATGATATAAATGTGTATTGGATGTTTTCTGTCAATATTGTTGTACATTCTCAGGCACAATTGAAATAACAAATAACACACAGTTAAAACTCGGTGTCGTAAACCAACAAAATATTTTTCGTCTTACCCTATAATTTTCACAGAATGATAGCCAGTATCTCGGAATTCAGGCGGATCATTACGGGCGAGATTGGTATATCTGTACACACCATCTTTGTACATATAGAAGTCTTCTTTCACCTCAAAGGTTGCTGGAATGAAATGACGAGAAATACGGGCCGTGAGAATGAATCTTTAACACGCTGAATTGAATATAAAATGTAAAATCTTCTAACCCTATAGCAAAATATGTTCAAAGTGCGTTGCTTTCAGTTATCATGCGGTGTGTGCTCTTTTCAGAAAATAGAGGTTACCTTGAACAGGGCCGTTGTCTAAGATTTCTTTCATTATTTCTCTCTCCTATTGAAATGTAAAATAACATTAGGCAAATAAAAAACAGAAAAACGACAAATAATGACTTTCTCTTTAAAAAAGGTTTTGATACTACAGATTTTCAATATTTTATACAAAACTTAAGTGCAAACATACTTTTATGCACCTCTATCAAATCTGATATACATAAGCTTTAATTGTTATCCGAAAACAAAATTTATCACGGAAATTTTCGGTTGAACTTACGCTGGGCGCTATCCTGTACGGTGGTGTTGAGGCATAAACACTTTTTGTCATCCGTCCATTGCCTGGACACCGGATATTCCTGGTGTGCATGGCTGACCGGCGGACCATACAGTTCCCTTTGATTTTTGACTGACCACTCGAATAGGGATAACAGTTTTCCTCCACCACTCTGTAAAATTATCAACAGTTTAACGCGGGAGTGAGGGAGTGAACGCAGTTAACGCAATAATTTTCTATATTCGAAATTCAACATACAGTAAAGGCCCATCGGTAGGATATTCATAACACTGTGCATTTGGCTAGAAAAAGTACGCTTGATTCAAAATTTGATCTATTGTCTGTGGAAGTTGGGTCAACTAAGCAAATAAAAAGATCCCCTTTTTTTCAGAAAAAAAGATCCTCTTTGAAAGAGCTGGCTACGGGTCTAAGTACCAACATATGATGTACGTTGACGGGACCACAAGGGTTTTAAAATTGCATTCGAGTCAAGGGTACATATTGCTAAATCGGATAAGTTTACTCTGTGTTTCTATTCTTTAATATAAAACCAAATAAGTGAGTTACCCAGTTTTCCTCATATACCACCACGCCCTGTCCAGGTGCCCTCCTTCACAGCCAAACTGGTTCTTGGAGTTGCAAGAAAGCAACTGCTGAGGAGACAGCATGTCGTTTATACCGCCATGAGAATGGATGGTCAGACGATCGGATGCAACGCCTGGAAATTGAACGAATACAACGTTACTTTTTACCAGTTTAGAAAAAACTTAACAATTTTGCTTGGAAAATTTTTTGACAAAAAAGGAAATTTAATTCTCATTGATCGGCGTAGTTTGCATTCTCTTACATTCATGTGCGCACGGGCCTAAATATGTTAAAACTATCTATGGCAAATCACTGCACATCTGCTCTTGCTGGGCAATCATGCAGTGCACACAAATCTCAGACCACGCTCAGGTATGTTTGTTTTTGAAATATACCTCTGCAGTAATTATAGAAACACCATCTTCAGGTTAGACACTACAACGCACAGCATGCATAGATTGTGTGGTATATGCCTTGAACATTGTCATTATACAGCACTTGGATTGACATTTTGTCATCACCTCTTTAGCATTATCAAACATTTTAATCTGATCGTGCTCGCTGATTTGACTTCAAAGTTGACACAAGGCATCTGATGTCACTGGCGAGAGCAGGAGAGCCTGTGTCGCATTCCGGTAACTATATAGCACTAGCCGAACAAACTGGGGTGATGCAACCTGTCCATTACCTATGACAGCGCATTGCTAACTAAATGGAAATGTTATCTACTGCAGATATGTACTTCTAACGCCAAATACTGTCATTTGAAGAAACGTAATTGAAACATTAGTATTTATCAAATTTCGCTGCCATTAGTGAAAATACGCATCGTCTAGAATTCGCGAAATATCATCTTCCCCCAGAACTGTTTTCGAGACATTTGGTTTTATTGTATGCCCGTGCAACTCAAACAAGAAATGAGATACTCTGGGCACTGGTAAGGTACTGATGGGCTCACGCTATGCATGCATGTCATGTAATGCAATGGATAGTATGTTACTACTTTAACACACATCACACCGAGTTAAACAAGTTCGTAGACTGATAAAACACTTGATAAAACGTGCTGTTACTATCAATTTGAAGTAAAACTCTTTGTAAACATGTCATTCAATTTTAAAGTCCATTTAAATGTAGGTCTATACTTTTTTAATCTGCAGAGACCAGACTCCTTTACCAAAGCCAAAACGATAACTTTAATTGAAAAAAAGTAAAACTTTATTCCCAAAAGCTAAAGTATTTTTAATTCTGAATGCAAAATCTTTATTGTGTACTGGAAATTAAACCTGTTAAATGAAAAATGGATAAAAGAAAAAGCATTCCTTATTTCAACATTCACTTTAACAAAGCAAAACACTTAACCAACACATTTGCGTAAATTTCATAAAGCATTTTAAATTTAAAAGACTTTAAAGCACAAGAACATACAATGCAATGCACATTTTCACAATCACCTGTGGTAGAGAAAGCCCATGAAGCTCCGCAATTGCCCTGATCCTGCACCGGATGGATCATTCCGGGCCATCTTGACCTGGCGTCAAAGAAATCCGGAAGGATCTCGTTCACGTGGACCCTGAGTGACGTCATGCGTGCCACTGAAGGACCGGGTTCCATGGTCCCCAGTCGGTACTTTTTGCCGTCCTTCAGCTTCAGCCCCCACAGGAATGTATAGTTTGATGACTGCCAGCTACACGGTGATCAAAAATATTGAGTAAAACATTCAACAGGCCGTGACGTAGTAGTGAAATCGATTTGTTCTACGTATAAACAATGGCTTTGGCATCTGAATTTTTTATAAACAAAAAAGAATATTGCTGCTAAAAAGGCAAAAAAAATTTTTTCAGAGATTTGTTGTCTGAATTTATTTGAAATATGGCAACTAACCCATAGTTTTGAGTGTTCACTGTGTTGATGTGTTCCGGTCGCAGAACGCAGGCAAAGTTTGTACAAGACCAGGATCCATATTTTGAACTACCCATGGGATCCGAGACACAGGTGCTGCAAGCGGAAAGGAAATTTGTTCTGGCGTTCAACATCTAATCATATAATATCCAATATGTCAGAAAAAGAAAGTTAGAATGTGTTTCATTAAGCGTAATCGGACTAATTAAGCGCTCAGAAAGAAAATTACAAAAAATACAAATGGCTTTTTAAAGCAGTGATGTCCTAACAAAGCAAGGGATAATTTGAAATGTATTGAAAATTATGCACATCATATATCAAAATTTTATCATGTAAATGGTATACTCACCAGGTGTTGCAGTTTCTTTTTAAGACCGTCCCATATTTGTAGTAATCGCCATTGTCTTGGCAAATGACTGAAAAACACAATAATGATGCTATATGCTACATACTGGTTTTAAAGTAATTAGAACTATCAGAATTTATGCAAACTAAAAAAAATCGCAATAGTACCATAAAAACCAAGCAGGATAATGACATTGCAAAAATAAATGTTGTGCTAAAATGACTACTGGTAACATTAAATTTGAAATGGATAGATAAGAAATAATTCCTAATCATCTTTATTTTTAGTATCCTTTTGCCTTTGATATACAGTATAAACGATGTTTTGACACCCCCTTATTGTTATAGCTGGTACCAACAGCATTTTGAGGTATTATCCGTTTAGGTAATCTGCCGAGTTATTTTATCACGTGGAAAATGTAGACATCAACGTATGCATGCTTTCTATTTGCAGTCTGGGTTGTTTTGTCAGGGCAGTCACACGTGTTGTCCTCACACAGACCTCATACGTAACTAACAACAGAGCCCTCAGTTTGCTTTTCAGAACAGGACTATTTTTCTGATATCATTGATAAGCTGCATTTATGTTGCCTTCTCTGTTATTATACTTAATGATGAAGTTGAACCACTAATCTTGGAAGTTGTTGTCAATTTAATGTTATCCTCATACCGTTTATACAAAATATATTAGGGTCTGTTACACGTACATGTACATTAACAGGGTTGAGGGGCATCTTACGCATCATAAATGCATGCACGTGTGAAAAGTACCAAACTGTAACTGGTCCAATACCTGACCGTAATTGAAAGTTGCATCACATCAATTAATAAAATAGTTCAACCTGAATCATCGAAAACCAATTTAAGTTGTTCATTCAACGTTTTGAAATCGTCAGGACTCGTATGCCTATCAATGTATAGATTTAAACGGTCTAATGTGTCAGTCCACCCCAGTACCCAGACTGTCAACACGACCAATCTCAGCTAAAAGTTAGATTACTTTCAGGTCTCCTGAAACGATATTGATAGCATTATCATCATCACGGATGGCAAATAAAGAAATTCTTTCTCGCCCCTTTATTTATTGAGTGGATAGGAAAATGAGCTAAATACGGTGTGATAGCCCGAACGGCTGCAAGCCTTGAATATACCTGTGTTAAGTGTTGACTTTCTCACCTGTGCCCTTGGTGCCAGCAAACATTTTGTTGGTTTGCACCAAGATTTCAAGAAGAAGTCATAAATCGAGAGTCCTAATAGTTATCCTTGGTTTCACTGACAGGAGTACGCGTTCGGGCTTCCCAGATTGAATCGATATCGAGTTGCGTCTAACATGAAAGTGCTAAAAGCTGCGATAATTATAAGCATATTAATGCAGTACACTTGGAAGTCTTTCTTCATTTCTATAGGTCCTAACTTTGAAACTCTTCGCTTTCAAAATAAATACAGTAATTTCAATCACAATCTTGTTTAACTGCGAGGTTTACATAACACTTCTCTATACTGCCAAAAAACGCGCAATGCTACTTTAAGCAGAGCAACATGTTTGTATGCTTTGTCGTCTTTCATTTACGCATCAATTTTCATATTTTAAACTGTTTGGAAAGAGATTGACTACAACAGAAAACTGATCAGACGTTAGTTTTTGTCGATCTTTCCCCCGATTTTAAGTGTTTTATTGTCTGCTGTTAAGGCGTAAACTTGGTAAGGCATTGGCCAGAGAACGAACAACCAACACATATTTCATACAGGTATTTCAGCATTCATGCCATTGTAGATAAGCGCTTCGTTCATCTACAAAAACAAACGTTCGACTTCAGACAATTAATTTGTTTATGCTGTATTTAAAAAAAAAAACAAATCTAACAGGTGTATGGTATCTCAAAACCTTTTCTTTTGATGAGGATGTACAACGCGACAAATGGCATTCTTTTGCAGTCTTATAGTTGTTCGCAGAGCATGAATCTTTTGATATTTCACGCACTACATGTAGGCAGGCGCAATTGAGTGGGGTTACATAGGTTTCAAGGGCAAATTCAGGCTGTCACGCGAAATTAATGAAAACAAAAACACAAAAGAGGGTTTCTTTGAGGCGGCTTTTCAAGTATATGACAATAATAAAAAACAGTTGTACACTCTTTGCAAGAAAAGACTTAAAAGATATATTCTGGAACAATAACGGGCATAAGAACAACTTTGGATTATAATATATCAAGGCTAATAGAACATGCGGCTGAAAACTGGTCTCGGTTTGCAAAATATTAGAAAATAAAGAAGTGGAATTTCTATAAACCTTCCCTGGCTGCGCCGTGGACAAAACACTGGTATTCCCACCTCATATCCTCACCAGTCTTTTATATGCTATAATTTTTTTCTTAATTTTCCAGTTTTATATCTGGTTTGAGGGGGGGGGGGGCACATTCCCACTAGGGTCAGTCATGATCTGAAGAAACAAACTTACGGTTTGAAAGTACAAAAGAGGCTATAAATCAGTGTTGCATCGTGTGTCTTGTGAACCGCACTACCTGTCGCCAAGCCCCGTCGTCTTAATTATTGAACCATTGATTTATACACAGGGAATTCAGTAAACACATTTTATGGTGTCTTCCATGCTAGTTGTGATTACAATCTGTTATAATATCAGATTTACACTTACACTACATTTACATTTATTGAAATTTCTCCTGTGTTAAAATGCTGAATTTAAAAAAATCTCCGCCCAAAACACATTTCAGTACATTTTAACCGTCAAACATTAAATTATCAAATGTGACTTTGTTTTTGTTAACTATTTTCAGTCCAGCTTTCTGGGTTACAGGAACTGTGTGGAGCGCAGTATGACTTTGGAAAATAAGATTCCTCGCTCAGTCAGCATCACTAGGTTTTCATAAATCTGGAAGGTAAGCACGCGGGTTTTCTCCAAACACTGACAGTTGGTCCATTGTACGTCAATTAGAACACAAGAGGCAATAACGTTATGTAACTTCTCTTATGCGACCACGTTTGGAATGCTAATCCGTACAAGGCATTTTTATACCCAATACTGAATTCAAAACGCGGGAACAGAAAATATAGCGTTCTTCATATAATACCCTTAATTCGAAGCCTTTTCAATATCAATATCTTTCTTGCAGATGCCTTTTACCATAGCGTTTGGGATTCTGGTGGTGAAAAGGCGTATTCTCTGAATTCCAACATGACAAAAACATACGATTGGTGGCGTTTTTCCAGCGTTCGACTCCTTTTTTTACGGGTGGTCGTCAACTATCCCCATGCAAAGAATTTTAATAGGCAGCCAGGGAGCCATCATCTACTTTCCTGAACTGGATAAATTTGCCAATTCGGCTTACTTGCGAGGATGCTTTTTTTTCCAATATATATATAGTCTTATAAATGCCAGTCCTTTTTGTCTTGTTCAATTCGTTTTTTATTACACAATCAAACAGTTAGTTAATCAGTTAGTCAGTTACATGGTCAAGTTAGTTAGTTAGCCAGATTATTCGAAAGTCAGTCAGTCAGACAGACAGACGGCCGGGCAAATAATCAAGCAAACAGTGAGGCAGTTTTTTTAACGCATTTTTTCATGTTATTCTTCAAACATACAAACCTTCCATTACATATATCATTAAAAATATTGATATATGAAATACATGCATATCCGCTTACGGTGATAGGTATAATACAATATCAAAGGCACCACGCAGTCTCTTTGAAGCTTCGTTTATCAAAAGGAAACCTCTTTGAACGTCTTTACAGTGAGGCGCACACCAAAACATTGTTCAGCCATCTGTTGCTATATTCTTCAAAAATTCTGGTACAGAAAATTTTGTCTAAGTTTCTACTTCTTTTTAAGACAGGCAAAATTATCTTTTGTCAATGCCAGGTACTTCAGTTGTTGATATCATGCGAGCCTAATGGCGTGTCCAATCACTTTATTCATTTTGTAAACCGATAGGGAAGAGGACAGGTATCGCCATTCCATTTAGTTAAACATCTGGCGAGGCCTCGCTAGTTTACCATTCCCAGCAGCACACGGACCAAAGACTGCGAACAATCTGCTTTACACCTAGCATTCAATCAAGGATTATTAGGTTAACGTGTGGTGAATATAGCGGAATATTTTAACGCGCACGACGGCAAAAATGCAAATTGCCTTCTCAGAGTTTCATTTCGATTTTTTTCTTCCAAAAACCACAGTAGTTTGAAAAAAATGAGCACCTTCAGTTAATCTGTTTCTTTATTTATTTTAGTTTTTCATCTTCTATGTATTTTTGTCTTTGTTATAATTAATTAATTCATTCATTTACCTAAGTCTATAACACATGGCGTTTTCAATACTGGCCCTCTTCTGCATTCATTTATTTTCATCTTTCGTGGACAATACTATAGCTCAACACTGTCATCATGGCTCTCTCTCTCTCCCTCTCTCTCTCTCTCTCTCTCTCAAAAAAGGAGAAAGGAGACCGANTGCTTTTCAGAACAGGACTATTTTTCTGATATCATTGATAAGCTGCATTTATGTTGCCTTCTCTGTTATTATACTTAATGATGAAGTTGAACCACTAATCTTGGAAGTTGTTGTCAATTTAATGCTGTCCTCATACCGTTTATACAAAATATATTAGGGTCTGTTACACGTACATTAACAGGGTTGAGGGGCATCTTACGCGCCATAAATGCATGCACGTGTGAAAAGTACCAAACTGTAACTGGTCCAATACCTGACCGTGCATCACATCAATTAATAAAATAGTTCAACCTGCATCATCGAAAAGCAATTTAGGTCGTTCATTCAACGTTTTGAAATCGCCAGGACTCGTTTGCCTATTCATGTATAGATTTAAACGGTCTAATGTGTCAGTCCACCCCAGAACCCAGACTGTCAACACGACCAATCTCAGCTAAAAGTTAGATTACTTTCAGGTCTCCTGAAACGATATTGATAGCATTATCATCATCACGGATGGCAAATAAAGAAATTCTTTCTCGCCCCTTTATTTATTGAGTGGATAGGAAAATGAGCTAAATACGGTGTGATAGCCCGAACGGCTGCAAGCCTTGAATATACCTGTGTTAAGTGTTGACTTTCTCACCTGTGCCCTTGGTGCCAGCAAATATTTTGTTGGTTTGCACCAAGATTTCAAGAAGAAGTCATAAATCGAGAGTCCTAATAGTTATCCTTGGTTTCATTGACAGGAGTACGCGTTCGGGCTTCCCAGATTGAATCGATATCTAGTTGCGTCTAACATGAAAGTGCTAAAAGCTGCGATAATTATAAGCATATTAATGCAGTACACTTGGAAGTCTTTCTTCATTTCTATAGGCCCTAACTTTGAAACTCTTCGCTTTCAAAATAAATAAAGTAATTTCAATCACAATCTTGTTTAACTGCGAGGTTTACATAACACTTCTCTATACTGCCAAAAAACGCGCAATGCTACTTTAAGCAGAGCAACATGTTCGTATGCTTTGTCGTCTTTCATTTACGCATCAATTTTCATATTTTAAACTGTTTGGAAAGAGATTGACTACAACAGAAAACTGATCAGACGTTAGTTTTTGTCGATCTTTCCCCCGATTTTAAGAGTTTTTTATTGTCTGCTATGAAGGCGTAAACTTGGTAAGGCATTGGCCAGAGAACGAACAACCAACACATATTTCATACAGGTATTTCAGCATTCATGCCATTGTAGATAAGCGCTTCGTTCATCTACAAAAACAAACGTTCGACTTCAGACAATTAATTTGTTTATGCTGTATTTAAAAAAACAACAAATCTAACAGGTGTGTGGTATCTCAAAACCTTTTCTTTTGATGAGGATGTACAACGCGACAAATGGCATTCTTTTGCAGTCTTATAGTTGTTCGCAGAGCATGAGTCTTTTGATATTTCACGCACTACATGTAGGCAGGCGCAATTGAGTGGGGTTACATAGGTTTCAAGGGCAAATTCAGGCTGTCACGCGAAATTAATGAAAACAAAAACACAAAAGAGGGTTTCTTTGAGGCGGCTTTTCAAGTATATGACAATAATAAAAAACAGTTGTACACCCTGTGCAAGAAAAGACTTAAAAGATATATTCTGGAACAATAACGGGCATAAGAACAACTTTGGATTATAATATATCAAGGCTCATAGAACATGCAGCAGAAAACTGGTCTCGGTTTGCAAAATATTAGAAAATAAAGAAGTGGAATATCTATAAACCTTCCCTGGCTGCGCCGTGGACAAAACACTGGTATTCCCACCTCATATCCTCACCAGTCTTTTATATGCTACAAATTTTTATCTTAATTTTCCAGTTTTATATCTGGTCTGGGGGGGAGGGTCACATTCCCACCAGGGTCAGTCATGATCTGGAGAAAGAAACTTACGGTTTGAAAGTACAAAAGAGGCTATAAATCAGTGTTGCATCGTGTGTCTTGTGATCCGCGCTACCTGTCGCCAAGCCCCGTCGTCTTAATTATTGAACCATTGATTTATACACAGGGAATTTAGTAAACACATTTTATGGTGTCTTCCATGCTAGTTGTGATTACAATCTGTTATAATATCAGATTTACACTTACACTACATTTACATTTATTGAATTTTCTCTTGTGTTAAAATGCTGAATTTTAAAAAATCTCCGCCCAAAACACATTTCAGTACATTTTAACCGTCAAATATTAAATTATCAAATGTGACTTTGTTTTTCTTAACTATTTTCAGTCCAGCTCTCTGTGTTACAGGAACTGTGTGGAGCGCAGTATGACTTTGGAAAATAAGGCTTCGTTCACATGCAATGTCTATTTTCTAAATTCTGTTTTCTATTTGCGGTATGTCTTATGATCACGGTCTGTGCACTGAATATCCCGCCGCGTAATTACTGGCAGCGCGAGCCAGTTACTATAAGTTACTATAAGTAACTGGCTCGCGCTGCCAGTAATTACGCGGCGGGATATTCAGTGCACAGACCGTGATCATAGGATAGCGCGAATAGAAAATAGAATTTAGAAAATAGACATTGCATGTGAACGAAGCCTAAGATTCCTCGCTCAGTCAGCATCACTTGGTTTTCATAAATCTGGAAGGTAAGCACGCGGGTTTTCTCCAAACACTGACAGTTGGTCCATTGTACGTCAATTAGAACACAAGAGGCAATAACGTTATGTAACTTCTCTTATGCGACCACGTTTGGAATGCTAATCCGTACAAGGCATTTTTATACCCAATACTGAATTCAAAACGCGGGAACAGAAAATATAGCGTTCTTCATATAATACCCTTAATTCGAAGCCTTTTCAATATCAATATCTTTCTTGCAGATGCCTTTTACCATAGCGTTTGGGATTCTGGTGGTGAAAAGGCGTATTCTCTGAATTCCAACATGACAAAAACATACGATTGGTGGCGTTTTTCCAGCGTTCGACTCCTTTTTTAAGGGTGGTCGTCAACTATCCCCATGCAAAGAATTTTAATAGGAAGCCAGGGAGCCATCATCTGCTGTTTCTGAACTGGATAAACTTGCCAATTCGGCTTACTTGCGAGAATGTTTTTTTTTTTTTCTATATACACAAAGTCTTATGTCAGCCCTTTTTGTCATTTTCAATTCGTTTTTTATTACACAATCAAACAGTTAGTTAATCAGTTAGTTAGTTACTTGGTCAAGTTAGTTAGCCAGATTATTCGAAAGTCAGTCAGTCAGTCAGACAGACAGCCGGGCAAATAATCAAGCAAACAGTCAGGCAGTTTTTTAATGCATTTTTTATGTTATTCTACAAACATACAAACCGTCCATTACATATATCATTAAAAATATTGATATATGAAATACATGCATATCCGTTTACGGTGATAGGTATAATACAATATCAAAGGCACCACGCAGTCTCTTTGAAGCTTCGTTTATCAAAAGGAAACCTCTTTGAGCGTCTTTACAGTGAGGCGCACACCAAAACATTGTTCAGCCATCTGTTGCTATTCTTCAAAAATTCTGGGACAGAAAATTTTGTCTAAGTTTCTACTTCTTTTTAAGACAGGCAAAATTATCTTTTGTCAATGCCAGGTACTTCAGTTGTTGATATCATGCGAGCCTAATGGCGTGTCCAATCACTTTATTCATTTTGTAAACCGATAGGGAAGAGAACAGGTATCGCCATTCCATTTAGTTAAACATCTGGCGAGGCCACGCTAGTTTACCATTCCCAGCAGCACACGGACCAAAGACTGCGAACAAACTGCTTTACACCTAGCATTCAATCAAGGATTATTAGGTTAACGTGTGGTGAATATAACGGAATATTTTAACGCGCACGACAGCAATAATGCAAATTGCCTTCTCAGAGTTTCATTTCAATTTTTTTTCGAAAACCACAGAAGTTTGAAAAAATGAGCACCTTCAGTTAATCTGTTTCTTTTTTATTTTTGTTTTTCATTTTCTATGTATTTTTGTCTTTGTTATAAGTAATTAATTCATTCATTTACCTAAGTCTATAACACATAGCGTTTTTAATACTGGCCCTCTTCTGCATTCATTTATTTTCATCTTTCGTGGACAATACTATAGCTCAACATTGTCATCATGGCTCTCTCTCTCTCTCTCTCTCTCTCTCTCTCTCTCTCGAAAAAGGGGAAAAGAGACCGATATACACAGTAATAGCAGAAATGGGTGTTCCCCAACCGTTTAGAAAACAGGATATAGGATAACGGTGAGTAGCACTCAAGAGGTTCGTAAGTTAGACAGAGCGAGACACTTGCCTACTCAGACTGTTCAAGTGACGGGAGATTAGGCAAGCAGTGTAAAGATACTAAAGAATCCATGGAATTGGGGCTTTCATATAAACTGTTTGTAATTTTCTGAATAATTATTAAATTCCATAAACGGTATCGCAGAAGGAAATGGATATTAGTGCAAAATTAACAGATCTTCGAGCACAAATAAAATCAATAGGTATAACAATTTATATAGACGAGCGATTAATTTAACAGCACCGCCTATAACATCTCCTAGAAAAATTTACCAGTACCTCGATAAGAGGAATACTTTGTTTAATCGGGACATAAATCGATTATAAAGCCTTTGATGCGGGTCTAATACCGCACTTATCATTCTTCACGTTGACAGCAATGTGAAACGCAAGTGGGGACGTAACGTGATTGAGTCGTGCCACCTTGGCCTAGAGGGTCAATATTGACCTATATATGTAATCAACGATAACCCCAAGTTGAAGCACACATATCTAAACTTGCTTTAACAAGGTTCGCCCAATCTGAAACCAATATTTTTAGTTTATCTAACATGAGTATTATAGCGTATTTTGTATGCAATCCCTCATTAGGCCTACGTGACTAGGGCAGTAGTATGGCTTATGTCAAACAAACAAAAGTATCGTTTACAAAAAGTGGAGAAACCTTGCCAGATAAAGACGGAGCATTATTTGCTGAATACTATGAATAAATCATCACCATTCGATCGTTTAACAGGACAGATCTTAGTCTGGGTGTCAGGTGAGAGACGCGATTAGACGGGCAGCACATCGAATTAAACGCTGGCACTATTTTAAATAGTTTACAATCCTTCGTTATTATATCTCAATTTATTGTTAAATCGCCACTACCCAAAAATTAAAATTAAAATAGTTAAATTATTAAACCACTGATCCTCCTACATAGGACTCATCCATTTTTTCATCATTTTCACAAGTCTACCAACCGTACGCTGTGTGTGAGGGGGGGGGAGGTTAATGCCCTCTGTACGCTTTTGTAAAAATGATGATCCAAATTACTGTCAAAGGTCATTTTTTTTTAGATTTTCACCTTGTACGCGTACTCTCTGAAGGGTGGTCTGAAAAAATCTATTCTTTGTAAACTTGTGAAAACGATGATAAAAATGGATGCCCCCTTACCTTGTATGGGTCTGGGAGTGGTATACTCTGGAGGTCGGGTTTCCCCGCGGCAATATTCCCAGAAATCTGGACAGCAGTCGTGGATAGTTCTGTTACAGAAGGCATCGCAGTAACACACGGTATCTGCTATGGGATAGGTACACTCATCGTCTCTTCCCTCGCAGCACTGGTCCCAGTATTTTTGACCGGGTCTTCTTGAGCAGTGCCGACTTTCCACGAGAAGGGGTATTGACAGGGTTAAAAATAATAATGCCCAAATACTTTTGACCCCGAAATGAGGTAGACAGAACTGTAAAAGGGATGCCATCCTCCCGCCTCTTGCCATTGTAAAAGCACAGTTCCTGGTTTCACTTTTTCTTCGCCGATGACTAAAAAGATAACTTACTTCCTTTGGAGTATTACTTCCTTCGCAAGAAAGAGCCTGTATTGTGAAGGCAAACAACTTCGATTATTTTTGCATTACACAGCATATATGTCAAATTTGTTTGTAAAAAAACGTGCAGTAATCACACCTCATATCCTATAGCGCATTCTGTTCCAGTAGCTACTTTTTTATTTTTAGTCCATTGAATGCCTTCACTGCTCCGATAGTTTAATCCGACTGCAATAAAAGCGAGGCGCTCAAAACGCTGGACCTAAGATATCGAATTTGCTATTCAATTCCTTAAGGTATTTGTATCGATCAAGCCGCTCACAACATTACGTCGTCTCTGCTCCTCCCGCCCAACAATGACAATGCACAGCCTTACGTACAAACTGACACTGGCAAATATTTGTGCACCGTAGCGTGGGTAGTCGGGGTTGTGCGCCAAGATAAAACCCCTACCAAATGCCTACCTTCTCCTATTCTCATTCATGCGGGGAAATCATTACTCAACGTGCGACAACAAATCCCGGTGCAAAATCTGGAAAGTAAAGAAAGTGCCACAGAATTATGCAAATAGATTGGATTTGAAGGGTTCTTCACCTAATGGAGTCATACTACCACATGTACCTAACGCATTGAAATCGAACACGATCAGTATGCATCTCACATGTCGCTTTATTAACATTAAATAAACCGATTCCGTATTTGAAACTATTTATCTATGGAATAAAAACACTTCTTTTTCGCGTTTCATTAGATTGGCCAATAACGTTGCCATTTTATGGGGTTTTCCATAATAAATCATCAAGGTAATATATTAAGCACGGAAAAGTGATTGAGCTGTGAATGTAGTTTACCTTGGCGTTGACCTGGGATTTCTGAGTACTTTTTGTTCGAAGGTAAACAGGAAAATATTTAATTCAAATGCAAAAGCGAAGCTTTATTTCTAAACGAGCAACGGGAGGACAGAAGGGTGTGCAAGTAACTTGTCAGCTGTAAGGTGGGCAGCACATGTTTTAGCTGTAAAGTACAGGTGCCCGGTGAGAGTCCGCAGTTACATGTAATTAGTGAGTGCGAATTCGTCACACGTCACAGCCAACATCTGACAAGAAGTTGCGATAACTGCCCATTGGTGTGGATATTATTTCTGACCGTTCAAATGTTGAAGCGAAGCCTATAACCGACAACTGTTGAAGATGCCATGCTAGTTTAAGCAGAAAGGACGCAGTGTAAAGGGGGTATTAGCCAAACCAAAGTGGCTGGAAGGGAGGTGGAGGGCAAAAAATTGCTTACAGTCAGTGAACAGTATCCCTCCACCTCCAAAAGCTGAGTCTGCCTTGAATTTCTATCCATTTGTCGGTTACAGAACATGACAGCATGATGTGCCAAACTACATCATGGCGATGACTACGTGTGAACCAGCTAACGGGGGGCAATATATTGATATTCATTTGCAACAAATTGAAAGATGAACCTGGGTTAATATTTCATAGCGGGATGTGTGAGGTGGGGGTCGGGGTGGGGGGAGATTATCAACTCCTTTTCTCAAAATTGTAATAATATTTACACACATTGGAGAAGATCGAATTTTTATCGTTAGTATGTAGCAAAAGCCATAATTGAGACGACTTTCCATACAATGTACTGAAGGAATGTAAACAAGTTAAACGAGTTCTTCTGCTTCTTTTGAGTCTTTAGGGTCAGAAAAGACCATAAATCAGTGAAAAAAGATCACCCACGTAACTATGGCAAAACATTATATTATCCACCTGAATCTTTGTATAGTATGCAGCTTTTTGCAACCCGTCTTTCTTCGAAATAAAAGAAATGATGCCTTGAAGAAAAAACTTAATTGTGCACTTGTATCATTACGTGCGGGTAACAAAAATAACATTTGCGGTTGGCAAAATTTGTTGAATAACAGTCTAATCCGAGTCTAATCATTCCATTACCTTCCTTTGGGCAGTTGCGTTTTTTTCAGTCAGACAATTTCTCGCGGCTGCAAGTGACGCTGACTCTCTAGTAGTGAAACGCATTATAAAAAAAATGATAGATACATTTCTCATAAGCCGCTTATTATTCCAGCGTTCGATTTGGCATATTCTCAAGAATTCAGACACAAATAATGTTAAGATAATACTTCCTTGACATAATAATGCAAATTTGAATCGTTCTGGATTCCTTCATCATTCTGACATGATCAACGCTCCCCGTGAAATTGTTGATACACGCACTTTCTTAATCTGTACTGCGCCAGTTCAGGTTGTTCAATCAATCGTCCAGCAGACTCGTTCATAAGATAAAATTACTTGGTCGTGAGATTGCTGTAATGTCCGCCAGAATTGAACTGGCGGTGGAATTAAATAAGGATCTACACCACAGACACGATGGCAGTGGCTTTACATTACCAGTACCGGAATAGTTTCTTTAAAAAAGTCTCAAAAGATGTTGTTTATTTTTTATATTCCAATACACTGTATCCAAATGCCTAGATTCGGTCAGACGTTTCTACATCTGTTGTTTTAAACAAGTTAAATGCAAACTTTTGCTTTAAATATTTACTGTCTTGAAACCTAATGTTTACCGACTGATAAGAAGGCAGTGCCCGTCGGTGATGTAACAAGAGACGTATGTATAGCACGAAGCACTTCAATTGTACAAAAAATTCAACATCTCCGACTAGCCTTTGGACTCGAGTCGTTCTTCTTCCTCAGAACTTCTTTGTGCTGTTTTACAGATCTCAGCCCCGCCTAATAGACCAGAATAAACTGAAATTGGACTGAATTATCGCTATGTGTTTGTTTTGTGCATTCCATATGTGTAAATGTGCAAAAAATTAAGTGGGCTGCTGCATGTGATGGTAGCTCCCGCCGATCACTGACCTGAGAAATGAACGTAATTCCAGTCACTCAAGTACTGGCCACACGATTTGGGAGAAATTCTTCTGTTTTAATCCTGGAGTACGTTTTATTGTTACTAACCGATTCTTCATTATGAAATGCATCTCATCCATCAATACAGAGAGTTGTCCAATCAAAATCCAAACTCATCGTTAGTTGTGTCTGTTTTAGATATGTGCGATAACAGTATAGAGGATGAACTTGAAATAAACGCAACACCGTATATATGCAGCTTATATACGAAATATTTTGCGTATAACATGCTCTTATTCAAACTAGCCTGTCGACAATTTTTAAGGAAGAAAAATAATGTCCTTATAAGGCATTCTCATCATTTGGGATGTGCACCACGTAAAAAAAAACTAATCATTATGGGAATCATAAATTATGGTTGTACCGTCGCGGTGGCCGACCCCTGTCGGTGAAGGTGTTTGGGTCATTTGACTTCAGGTGTGTTGGCAAGTATTGGCAGAGCCTTAAGTTACATGATGTTTTCCCATTTTAAGTGAAAGAGAACAAAACCATTTTGACACAGCACTACCTAATATAGTTCTACGTTTTCTCAAGTTGATAGGATACATATTAGTTTTTAATTTTGATGTATTATTGCAATAACAGCAAACTACTCCGATCTAGGCGACAAACCGCCAAAACAGCACGCAGCCAAGCCATCCTTATCAGCGTCAGCTGAAATATCTCTCACACTCGGCAATAGACTGTGTTCAAAGCTTACATTGCATTTATATTTACAATTATTGTATTGTGTGTATTGTTTCCTTTTTCTTCTCCCCCTCCTATCTTTTTTAAACGGTTTCGAGGCTCTTTGCTTTTTATTATCTCGACTCGGTTCAATGCAACAATAATGAAATTCGTCATTTGATTTATTCTTCAAATCCATATAATTCTCTTATCGTTTGTTTTCATTTTGTCCATCATTTGTCACCTCAGTTATCTCTCAAGCTGTCTGTTTGATCCCTTCTGCCGATCCTGTCTTCATTTAAGAACCCTAGTTATGATAATGCTCAATAATAGAGAATTTCGAAATCAAGAGCGTATAATCAAACTACAGCCTAAGATGGGTAAACGTGATGCCTTCAACCTAAGATCTAATATACCGTTTATTAGATCTTAGCTTCAACACACAGTATCCTCTTTGGGTGATTGTTAGGTTAACAGTAAACAAGGAACACGTCTTAAACAATTAGTAAAAACAACAGTACAGTACGAGGAATGGTTGGCGCATAATTGCACCATTTCCCCTTTCTCCTTTCCCAAATATCCAGACTGGAGTAGCCTCAGGGGAACAATTTTTGCACCTACATTTTAGTCAAAGAGAATTTAGTCTGTTTTCTGAACGTGCACGTTTTTCTTCTTCTTCAAAGATCCGAAAAGATCTATGGAAAGAAGTAAATGGTTTTCACTTGATTATCAGGCTGATCAGTCGTCATACATTAAAATGGCAACGTGCAAATCATTTTCCAATATCGTTTTATCGTTAAGGTTTGACATTAATGAAGAATATAAATAGGACCCTTGTTCAAAGTCTGTTCAAGCCATATTTAGATATATATCATATCAGCACAGGCAGTTGTGAATGGAGTGCCCTGTACCCTATAGGGTCTAGAAGTCTGGAGATACGAATATTGAGGTTAATCAATCTGAACTTAAAGTCATATGTTTGATTATGCCACATTGATACCAATTATAATTTTTTTTGTAATTTTTGCAGATCTACCAAATATAGAATATAAAACTTTTATTGACATCTATTCATCGCTATGCGTATTGTTAAATGGTATTTATACAAGTTAAACCCATGTGAAAGTTAGCCTCAGTTATCATTGGCAGACAGAAAGCGTGCCTTAGGAAATTTTCATGTGTGAAGCATTAAAAATCAACTCATATTATGTACATTAGTAATTTATGACACTATATACAACACCTATCCTTCCACAAAGTTGGTCCAAATATCATCGAAAGAATCAAACGCTACCCACGATTTGGGCTAATAGGGCCTAAGTTTAACGTAACAAAAAAATAAAAATGCAACAGTAAGAAGGCAGAGTTACCCGTATGGTTTTAAAAAGAACTAACTTAAAGCTATGAGATTAAAAAAAACGTATGCCTACCTTCACAGGCGACCGGTCAAGTGACTGCTAGGGCGATTTGAACAGACTGTTCTGCATGTACCTGATAATTTCTCTGATTGACATACATCCACCAACCTGTACCCGAAGCCTCCTCAACTGACTACATGTTACGCATTGCAATTCAAACTCAATTTTACACCTTTGGTACCGAAAAAAAGGACTTGATTTTTTCAGCACGCCGTTAACGGTGTAAAGATATTTATCAATGACTCCAGGGTCAACAGACAGGGGCTGCATGTGCGAGATCCACAGATGCTACCTTGCACGCGATGGAATTCGGGTCAAAGCGACATCTGGTAGCTTAGCTTATCACATATACAAATGTATTTTGAATAAAGGGCAACAGACATGATGAATACAAATGCAAGAGAGAACAACGTGATGTAATTTTGACTAACTGAAACAAAGGTTCCAACCAAGACATGTCTCAGTGCTATATGTTTCACGTGATTTCCCCCCCCCCCCAAAAAAAAAAAAAAATTAATAAAATAATTAAATAAACAAGTTCAAGAAAATTTAGCTTATGATAATCTGGCCTAGAAATTACAACTGTGGGATTGACCTAATGAGTTGTCGCACCACGGTGAACAAGACTCCAATTGCCTTAGGCATGATTCAAAGTTTGAAAAGAACGGGGTGATGTCAATAGGTTCTAGAAATTTAAAATACCTGAGAACCATTGGAAAAATTTACCTATTGTATTTTCATCCACAATCCTTTAACAAGATTGCGCTAATGGCTGTTATTGTCTTTTAAAAGCTAAAAATGAATATTATTCTCTCTCTCTCTCTCTCTCTCTCTCTCTCTCTCTCTCTCTGTGTGTGTGGGGGGGGGGGGGGCTTTCACCAACAAGCCTGTCGACAGAAAAAAATTATCTGTGGAACAAAACATGTGGCTTTGAATCACCTCATATTTTCCAAAAATGTCTTCGCAGCAGGAGCCAAAAACTCGCCATCTTCTGGAAGTCCTGACCTGCCAAGAAAGACATTTGATTCAAGGGTCTTCTATTGTAACTCTCTTTATGAAGAGGTTCTCCGCTACACTCCCTTCGTGCGCTTTCTCTAAACAGAAATCAAAACCTGTACAGTGCTGCATTTTACCGATATAAATAGGGTGAGTGTTCTAGTGAGTGTAACTCATAACTGTCACGGAACATAACCGGGGTTAACGTGTTGATGTATTGTAAATGGAACTTACTCTACGATTGCATTAGGTGGTCTTTCAAACAAACAGATTGTGACGACTTGTTCACATTAAGGCTGGATTCAGCTAACACCCTGAATATGACAGACTACTAACGAAGTTTCCCATTCCGATTATTCTCAGCACCTGCACCGTTTTCGTCGCACCCCATGGTATGAGACAGGGATGGGACTGGGTTGAAGGACTAGAAAAGGGCCGCTTATTTTGCCAGAGAAAAAAATGACCTCTTCTGGACTACTTTCAACTCCAACAGAGTTTTAATTTACATTTCAGTCGATACATAACGATTTTTTAAAGCCATAAAATAGTCCCCTTAGCAAAATGTGTCCAACCGCCAGCTTACTTTATTTTACATGTTAAATTTTTTGAGATATTTTGGACAGGTATGCAGTTCTATAAGTGGGAATGGTAACTACAGTACTGTACATGTACCCAGGCCGACTATTAGGAAAAAAGAAAGAAGAAAAAACTTAGACTCTGTCTTATTAATGTTAAGCAATGAGGCCTGTATATAACCCTTTTTCGGCCTACTAATTGTATTGAGCACGTCATTTATTTCTTATTATTAGCATTTTTATTTCTCATAGATGCTTTTAGCAAAATTATGTTCACCAAATACTTGTACATGTAGCTTTATAATTAACACCCTTCATATTATCATGCAAAAATAGGTACGTCTAGTGATAAACAAGAATGAAATGTAGCAAATTTTGAACTTGTTCAGCGTTCAAACTTCTATTTAAAAAAAAGTCAATTAATATGAAAAGTGAGAAACGAGGGGATGCCTTATGGTAATGAGAATGATAAAAATGTAAAAGTACTTTATGCTAAGCAAACACATGGCCGGGTAAAACAATTGGTTCTAAACGGAAGAAACATATTTGGCAATTATTGGTAGAAAACAAATATGAGACATGCCTTATATTTGGGCAAGACACTTGCAGGTACATAAATATTCAGTTTGACCCCCCCCCCCTCCCCGAACATTTATTGGCACCAAACTTAATTCAAATTGCACCTAATGTGTGACGTGCTTGAAAACGAAACCTGGTACTTATTGATGCTTATAACCTGATATAAGCTTCAAAATATGTCATTGCACTGGGACATGGTGTTACAACGAAGCTTCATATCCCATTTGGCATGCTGCAACGTGGATGTGTACCCAAGGTTTGTTTACATGTGACGTCATCAACCACAAATGTTTTGAATCTTCCGCAATGACATCCATTGACAATTGATAAAAATATAATTCAGTGAGTATTTCTATCGCCTTTGTACGAAGCACTAAACCAAGACTAAAAAAGACCGAGCATGTTTATTTTTGGATGAAATACGTGTCAAATAATGACATATGCGTTTTATTCTGGGACTATTTGATGCCCCAAAGATATTCCTCAAGTTCGGTTGTGATTCGGTTCTCCTGCAAGGCCCTGAATTTCTGCAAATTTTCGCAGACTTCTGTCACTTTTTTGCGAAACTGACAGGTTGTCTTATAGGTAAGTGCGCGATCTTAAATGAGTAAACTATTTATTTAGTGGAGAAATGAGTTGTCCAACATTGTAAACAAGCGGTAAATACCCACATGCAATTTAGTAAGTTGTCTAAGGTAAAATGGCTGACGATCGGCGATAGCTGCCCATTCATTCATTCATTCATTCATGGTTGGCAAGTCGTCCTTTCATATCAGATCTGTAATGCATATTACGTATTTTAGGTTCAGTTAATGAAATATGATTGAAAACTGCACGAGAATTTTCTTAATGCTTTAGCACTACTGTACATATACAATAGTACTTCAAATATTCAAGAACAGATTAAGCAAGCTGACTGTATAGTGTGTATTTTTATTTTTTGTAGAGAATAATTAAATCCAGCATGCTATTACAGACAGAAGTCATGGCATTTATGTCATATGCCCCCAAAACTAAAACCTGTAAACTCTTCGATTTTTAGTGTTTTTCTAAATTCAGTTAATTGGTGACTTTGATCATTGTCTCTACTATTTAAAATTCAAATAAATTTATGTTGCACTTTGATGTTCACACCTGAATTAGCTTGAGGTAATTTCCTGTTAAAACAACAAAAACTCATCAACTAAATTGTTGAACTAAGTAATTTATTTGAATAATGGAGACATAGATAAAAATAGTTACATAATTGGCAGTGTTTGCCTCTTAGGAAAATGAGTTGCTGACCGAAAGTCCAACAATCTTGAAAAGTAGCTGGACTGAATGTCTGCCAGGTGGGAAAACTTCTCAGCCCGTTCTAAAAGTTGTCAGCCTCGGGCAGACGGTCCAGCCTTAATTTCTAACACTGATAATTGGAATTTTGGAAAACAAGGTGTTTGAGCGTATTCATCACAGATGATCCTCCAACCTACTGATCCCCGGACTAAATATGGCCGACCCCACTTAAAAGCAAAGCTGCTTATTATCCTAATGGTCTCTCCGCCTTCGCATGCACCATTCCTGCAGGGGCCTAGCAATTAAACCTCAAAGCTGAGATTTAATCTATGTCTAGGCGGGGAGACCATTAGGATAAGGGCAGCTTTGCTTTTAAGTGTGGTCAGCCATATTTAGCCAGTGGATCAGTAAGTCTCGGAATAATCTGTTCTGAATGTGCTTTTTTAAAACTTGAAAGAAAGAGAGTCAGTATATGTACTAAAACTTGTTGATGTGAGGAAATATATTTTTCTTGGGAGAGAATCCCACATAAGATATGTACAAGTCACAAGTGAATTCTTTTGTGATACATGGAATTATTTTTACATTCAGAACCTAAATGTAAATTTCAAATTCAACAATGTATTGATTGATTTTTCATAATTATTCATTCATCATTTAAATGAAATTATGATAATTAGTATGTACAGTGTTAAATTATGGAAAATGTCACCATACAGTTTATATGCTCATGGTTACTAGTAAGTAAAGGATGGAATTTTTAAGTGAGATAGTTTGTAAGGGGAACTTCTGTGGAAGTCTGGGATGCAGATATTTTCTCCATGATGTTATCACTTTTTTCTTTTGAAACTGTGTAAAATATATTTGTTATACGATGGTATAAACTTGGTTCACATATTAATTTATTGACAGCCCTGTCAGATCCCTGACTTATAATATTGATTTTGTAAGTCCTCGACAGCTTTTTCCCAATGGCTGACCTTGATCATAATCAATTTAAAAATCAATGACTGGCAATATGTATAAAGCATCTAAATAGATGGAATTTGGAATACCTTTTATAACTGCCTGTTGAACAATGAACATTTACTTCAAACATAAAAAAGTAAATGTTTTACTTGGATAGGCACCTCCAGGCACCTGGGGATTAATGACTTATGATAATGAGACTTGCATCATAAAAGACAAACTATTATTGTGTGTTGAACAGAATATTGACAATATCGTGATTGTAAGACTTGGTTCAATGGATTGTTCTGTTAAACTATAATGTCATGTCAGCATTTATAGGCTATTGGCTCGTTCTCAGACTTACACTTTGGTTAATTGAACAAGTTTTTATAAAATGAAAGAAGAATTTATTTCCATTTCATTTTTTAATTATAAACCTGGTATGAAAATAGATGAACTATTTAATATTTATAACTGTTTTCATAAAAATAAGATATGCTGGGGTAGCGCTAACACTCGTCAATTTAGCCAAATGCTAAAACTGACTTAAATTGGCTAAAGAAAAGGGCTTGATTTGACATGTTTTAGCCAAATTATAACCAGTTTGATAACAAATTGACAAAAATGTGGTGATATGGCTAAGCGAAAAAATTGCTAGCGCTACACCAGATATGATATTCATTCCTAGGTTATAAATGGGTTATCAATTGTAAAATTCTTAGTTTAAAGGTTTTAGGGGACTTGGATAGCGAAGCTTACTCTTGGTAAAAATTACATATATAAGTAAGAAAACTGGATTATAAGGGGGCTGTGAGCTTATAAATTAAAACTGATAATGACTTTATTCACCAGACCAACTCTTTCTTTATATCAACAAGTGGAATACTACAATTTTATGAGATTGGGGTTTTCAAGAAAGTGATTGATTGATTGATTAAGATTTAAACAAATACTGCATATAATCAGCCTAGCAAGTCATTCATTGATCACATTTGTTAGACTTGGAGCAAATGTGGGGGTGTTTAAACTTCTTATGAAACCATTTTGTACAATTGAGCATAACCTATTTAAGATGTTTACTGAAATGATTAATAACCTACATTGACTAAAATACAGAATAACAAAAGTTGAGAAACCTTTCTGAAAGTCAAATTTTCATTTTGTTCACTGAGCCCACCTTTCTCTGAGTGGGATGGAAGTAGGTTACATTGACCTTAGCAGCAATGTTGCATATCTCCCTACCTTTGTTGCATGCCACATATAAAATAAATTGATTTTTATGTGCTTACATTGTATACAGTGCTAGTAGTTACAGCGATCAATAATCAAATAGTAGGTTCACATATCAACTAGAACTGAATGAGGATGTATGGTTGAATTCTGTACGTGTTGGGTTGGTACATACAGACTAGGGAACGCTGAACATGTTTGGTTCAATATTTCTATTTACCTCATCTTTTAGAATTGTATTTTGACTGTCTGATTTTGTTGTTAATTGTTTGTCAGATGTGGTAACTATTTGGATAGTTGGACGTGCTTTGTTGTTTGTTGTACATGGAATGACATAAAGTCAAGAGTTATAATGATTTCAGTTGTCCAATCATAGATAACTTTATTAATTCTTTTGCAGGGAATATGCCCAAAATCCTGGCTACTAACAAGTAAGAAGGCAACCATTTTGTCTCCAGTAACAGTTGGCTAGATGATTGGAGGACATAGTCAAAGGCTTAGTAAGCAGGCATTTGAATTAATGATTTATTTTTATGCTATGAATTAAAAGGGACTCGGTATACTGTGAATATGTCATCCAATTTTTTATGTTTCAACCTTTGAATCTTCCTGATTTTTGCTTGATAGAAAGTTAGATTAAGTATTTAGAAAATGTCATTTTCACTTCAAGATTTCAAGAGAATGTTCACAAAAAATACCGAAAGAAAGAAATAGACAAGTGAATAAGTGAAGAAAAAATAGAATTTAAAAAAAAAATTGAACGAAAGATAAACAATAGGTTTAAAATTATTTTGATTTTTTTTTTTCAGTGCAATGACCATTGAGCTTCAGCATCCACCATGGTTAAGTAGGCCCTGGCATAGCACCTCCACTCCTTCACTGTACAAGAACCTTCTGAAAAGATTGAAAGAAGAAGATACCACACCAACCACTTTATACACAAAGGTACTATAAAACAACTGTTTACTTTATAGCTCATAACTCACATGGTTTCCAACACAATTGATCTGAAAGTACAATGTTTTTCATTCGAAATGTATTGATGCCTGAAAGTACGAGAATTTAAAAAAAAAGGAATTATACATTATGCCTTAATTTGTGGGCAGCCCTGTACAAGTGAAACTTAACCCGGAGTTCCATGCTATATATGATTCAGGAATGCTGAAAATTACTAGTTTTCAATATAATAATCTATTAAACCCAACACCCTGTTAGCAATAATTCTGTTCATCCACACAGGATTTGATAGTCGTGTCCAAGGCATTAGTAACTAATATAGGTACATTTTATTTGAATGAATTAAGGGATTATTTCCTCTGAAGCAATGGTTGCTAATGAGGGAGCATTAATTTAATGAAAATAATTATTTTCAGATTAGGTTGCCCCATTGTGCAACAAAAAGTAAATTCCTACTGCATTTGATCTTGAAACTTCCTGTATGTGAATTTGGCATTTACCTTTCAAACAGTAAACCATGTAAGATTCCACACAATATCGTAGTCAGTTAGCCAATGTTTTGCTAGTATCACAATCCTATCCATCAATGTCATATTTTGTCTAAGAAGGAAAAACATTTCCAGGCAATTACCAAAAGATAACCTGTTTCTTACCACCTACTCATAGCTTAGAGGAAACCTAACAGACTTGCTTTTAAATCATTTATCCTTGACCAGCTTTTCTGCCTTATGGGATTGTGTTGTCTCGGAGCTGTCATTTGTGGTCAAAGCTGGTATACCACAAGATACATCTTACCAGTTGAAACAGAGGAGGCATTTTCCTCTTGGGCTGTCACTGAAAGACACAAGAGGAGTGGGTAGTTGCAGTCATGAAAATCACCTTTGAAAGGCAACCCTATTTTGTTTCAAGATATGCATTTAGAATCTTGGTGATGGAATTCGTGCTCTTTTTGTATGATAGAAATTTCGGCAGTACCGTTTCTGCACCCCTTGTTTTGGAAACAACATTTTTTCTATGTTTATACAGGATTTGGCCTTCTATTAGTTTCAGTTGAACAAGTGTGGGTGCCTCTTTAACCAAGCATGTTTTGATGAAAACAAATATTGTCTCACTTTCTGGTTTGGTTTTATTGATGAAATAGCAAGAGAGAAGATGAATGAAATTTATCATTCACTACCACACATGTATTCTAAAGGTCACGGCAAACATTGACCACTCATCATCTAAGCAGCATATGAAGCCATGCAGTTGATAACTCAGAACAGTAGCAATCACAGTGTGTGTTCAATATATGGCTGTGTGGGTGCCGCTGCATGTTTTGTGGGCGATGGAATGAGGTGGTGGTCTCTCTGATATATACAGTAACGAGTTGAACTGGTTGGCGATTACACTGGATTTCAGTTGCAGTAAGTTTCTATGCTAAAAATGGATTAAAGAGTTTTAAAAAAATTTTTTGACTCCTTGATTTATAGTAGCAGTTAAAAGTGTTAGAAATGTACTTTTAAAGGTTCTTGATTTTTATGTACACACACAGATGATTTTTTGTGTAAGGTACTTGTAAGCAAACAGATGTATAAACGCCTACACATAGACTGTTAATGAGATCTCTGTGAATTGATTAGAACTGCACTTCAGTTAGTAATTGGTCTTGGGTAAAATTGATGATACTTTTTCAAGAGTAAGACATATAATCATGACCTAGGTTGTTGCAAATGGTCGTTTTCATAAACCAATGGGTTCAGGTACTAGTTTTTGTTGCTGGCAGGCCGTGATTTTTCCAGAAAGAGAAGCCAGTAACATTTTGATGAATGGAACTGGATGTGTGTTACAATCTACTGTATGCCACAGTTTTCATTAATGAACTGTCATATGTACATTTCCTATTGATCGGTCTTGCATTTTTGTGAAAAATAATATCCTGACAAGCAATCGTTCTTAAGCAGAGAGTTTGAATCTTGGCCAGGTTCTGGCATATGCATACATGTGTTTAGAACTTTCTGTTTTAATGAAAAAATATGCTCCATGAGGACTCCAAAGAAAGTATAAAACAGAGGGATGCTAACTTTGAAATACTAGTATTTTGCATGTTATTTATGAGAGTAGGATTTATTTGGTGAGACTCTCTGGCTTAAAAATAACCCAACATTCCTGAGATTTGCCTGGAATATCCAGGTGACTAGCAACCCACACATTTGCCTGGTAAGATCATAGGGTTGCATGTTAACTCATTGTAAAATACTGTGACTCTGGAGAATCAATCGATAAAGCAGCATTTCTATTTTGTACAGATTTATTATATATACTAAAGTTAATAGTAGGCATGGTAAGTAATATCCTTAGAAATGGCAGCAAGAAGGTGAATAAATTGGTGATAATACAGTGTACATGGGTCTCCTAGTGCAAAGCTGTACATGTCTTGTTATTTGTATATTTATAAGGCATCTCAATCATGAAATGTTATACTAGCTGCTGGCAGACATCCAGTTTCCTATATTTTTTTTTTTTGTTATAGATTCAGGTAACTCCCACTGCATTGCTGCTTCAGAGGACTAGAAGTGGAGCTAAAGGAAAGGATTATAATATTGATGCATCGTTATCAAGTGGAGTTTAAAAAGAAAATGCTGAATAAGTTATTTCCTATTTATTTGCAGGTGTCAGGTTTGGGGGCTGGAGACCAGCTGTGGACACAGTGGTATGTGTGGCTAGCCTTTGGCTTGGGGGCCCTCCTGGTAGCAGTGACCATTGTCATTGTGGTGAGTAATTTTTACATTTTTTTTATATAGGGTGCGTTCTCAATGAAACTATTGTATACTAGGTAATTTGAATTAATATGGAGGAGACTCTTGTTGCATGCAATGGGGTTAAAAGATAAACAAGCCTCCTCTTGGCATTGAGAATATATAGAAAAACTGGTGATTATACAAGTACATTGGAGAAAAGAGGAGGCATTTTAATCTGGTTGCATTCAGGGAGAGTCCCCATAGAGTTGGTACAAGCTACCTAGTGCGATAGTTTCATTGTTAACATACCCATAGTTATTCAATATAAGTTCTCTTTTTTTGGCCACTTAACCATCAGATACATGAGAATGAAAACATGCTTATCTAGGTAAGATTTTATCAGAACATTATGGAGCCTGTTATGTCAGTGTTTGTTAGTACTTTAAAGCATGCTCTTGTTGCCTCACAAAAACCTATGTATTCTGACCATGTTTTAGCCGAGTAACAGCTTGCTATAATAACATTCACAAAAAATCCATTGACAGAATGATGTATGATATTTGGCTTCATTTCAATGTAGAGTAGAGAGGAAGAATTCATCCCATAAATCATGTGCAATTTTTAGTTAGTTCATTGAACTTTTGATCAATATTTTCATAATTGGGACACATGGCATGTCCAGTGGGATTAGAGGTTTGATATTGATGCAAACAGTGTGTTTATTCAGCTTTAATTGTGACCGATTCTGTTTTACTGTGTAGAATTAGTAATTTCTCTTTATTCTATATATTTGTGTCATAACTATGTTTTTACTGATCATTTTGACTTAGAAAAATAATAGATAAAAAAAAGCTGAGATAAGATAACCTAACATTTTTATACGTTTCAAAATAACATGTGAAATTTTCTTACCATTAGATATGTAAGTCTTAAAATGTAATGCTCATTGTGAAAAGTCCTTGAATTCTGAATCGTCTTCGTAACCACCTCTCCCCTGTAAATGTGGTGTAAGCAGGGAAGACATTTTTTGACTATAGGCAGATTTCCAACTTTTTTGGGAACCAAAAATATGATTGCCCTACTGTAGGCTGCCCCCTGGACCCCATGGCATTCTTTTCCACTTTTTCACTAAATGGCAGTCTTAACCCTACCTACGTTTAAGCTTCACCTCTATTTTAGGTTTGTTGCTGTGTGCACAAGAGGAAGAAAAAGCGAGGTGAAATGCAGGTGCTTGCCATGCCACAGCAGATCTGCATCTACCAAGGCCCAAGCCCCAAGTCTGCTGTCCACAGTACCACCTATATCCAACCAGGGACTGACTCCAGCTGTACCAGCTCCACTGCCAGCTCCACACCCAAACAGAGCCCATCCATCTCTCCCAAACACAAGCAGATCTCTAGGGTCAAAGCTAAAAGTTTGATAGAAAGGTAAAGATAGCTGGAAAATATATGTATGGATGTTTGAATGGAAGAAAACAGAAGCTTTTTATGGAATGTGTAGTAGATTATGTATTGTATCCATTTTTCTCATTGGTGTTTGACCAGCATTGTCTGTGGTTCAGATTGTCTTTGTCCATGGCCTATTTCACACACACACACACACACACACACACACACACACACACACACACACACACACACGAAATCAACTTTTTAGGCAAACTTTTGTTAGTTGTGCTTTTAGTCAGTTTCACAAAGAATCTAATAGGCTGCTTATCTCCTTTTTATTGCTAAAATTAAATATTTCACCAATTTTATATCATGGCTAAGATATTTTTAGGCATCTTTTGTTGCTATGTCATTGACTTATAGCAAAAACTTCAGTCCTCTGTTTATCCTCGTTTTTGTTGAAATTATTGATATGTATGTGTATGTGTGATACAGCATGGTTTGCATTCCATTTTATCTTAGTTCAACACAAATTTATTTCTAGATATTTCAGCTGCATCTGTCATACTTCTAAATAATAGAGCAGTCAATAATGGTCAGTGTAGACGGCCACTGATCAAATGCTGCAAATGGATTAAGACACGTAGAAGATGATTCATTCTCCTAATGTTTGAAATTTTTATTTTAAAATGAAAACTTAATATTGCAGCTTAGTCACGGTTTTTGAGAGTAATGTTCCACTGATGCATTTGAAGTTTTTCTGTTACTTTGACAAGGATGACATTTATCAACTGTAGATGCTCTCAAAGTTATAGGACAGGACAGTGACTGCTTTCCTCAATTTGTTGAATATAAACTATATTTCAAAACCAAAATCCCATACACAATGTCCTGCCTAAAAATCTGACTTTTAAAAGTCTTTCCCACTTAAGTGAGACTGCTATCAAATGAATGTTAAATTTCAGCAGGCTGAAAGCATTGTGAAACACTTCTGATACCTATTGTTTAATTAGCAGTCTTTAGTTGGCCAGGTATTTAGTTTTAGAAATCATGATTTGTGTGTGTGTGTGTGAAATCGCCTGGTGTTCTAATGTTAACAATACTGTTTTATTTTCTACAGGAGAGGGTCCAATAATTCTTTAACCCTTGACTTGAGTCTCCATCCAGACAATCAAAACCAGAGGTCACCAACCAGGGAGAGGTGAGTGTGCGGGTGTTTGAGCTACATAGGAGAGATTAAAATGGACTTCATTGTTTTTAATATGGATTTTTAATTGAGTTATGGTGGAATTGATTAGAAGCATAACAAGACTGTGGAATCGAAGCAATGTAAGATAGGAAAAATAGTGAAAATAGGCTTTCATTGTATGTGTAGCTTCCAGTGACTTACAGCTTTTAAGTAGTTTGTCATGCACAGTCATGGTAACAGATTATAAATAATTGAATGCCAGAAACATGGTTGAAATATTGCAAAGATCCACTAACTTCAATACAGGAATAGCTGAATAATAAAAAAAAAATTCCATACTGAGCACTTGAGGGTCTTGGTATTCTTAAGTTAAATAATTTTCTAGTTCAAGGCCAAATCTTACTGGTTATTAAAAAGGAGGCTACCAAAGTTATTCATGGTAAAAGATGCTGGCAAAGTTTGTAAGTGGTGCCTCTGTGATTGGAAGATTGAGCCCTGGATGTACAGTATTGTAGAATGTTCAGAAGGTTCTGTGCTGCAAGGGAAAATAGATTTTGATGAGCTGAATTAAGGAGAAACTTACCATGTCAGTGACTGTTCAGTGTTGGATAGACACTGGGGATAAGCAAAAGGACACCTGCCTTATTCATATTTCTTATTATCATGATTGTATTTGTCCTCTGATGTTATTCTCCAAGAGTTTCCACTCTTGGTGTCATTTTTCTGTAATGTGGACCAGTCTGAATCATAAGATTGTGTGGCTCATTAGTTAACACTGAGAGATGATAATCTCACTTAGGTGGTTTTCTACCTAAAGGTCACATGGTGTAATTTGGATAGAGTAAACGGAATATCCATCGAAGTGTTGCTTGGGATAGAATATCACATGATGTACGCTTGGATGATGCAGAAAAAGAGACGAGAGTTTATAAGCGAATGTACTCTTTTAATTGTGATGCATCTATTCTTGCTTAGTGCAGCATTTAATTAGTTGCTGTCTGAGCCAGCCATTATTCTCTACTCTATTATTTAGTAGATATTATTATTGCACCTGAAAAATATCCAGCAACGAAATGAGATTTAAAATAATGGGGATAATGTTGTTCCACAATTTTCATTAGTCTGAGTAAAATTGACAAATGAATTCAGGAATAAAAAAGACAATTAAATTGACAGAGGACTGTGTTGCTTAGAAGACTGCTGTTGATAAATAATTTCCAACAAACATCTGCATGACTTGGCAATATAGCCCCGGCCTGAAAATTTATATGCTGTTATCATTTTGATGTGCTATTTACTTTGAATTAGTTCACAATTGGGAGAAAAATAAAGATAATAATTAGATTCTGAACACCAGTAATTAGAAATATAAAATTGTTTACATTTATTTGAAAATAACGTACAATTTAATTATAATTACAGGATATTAAATATTATATATTAAAATATGCAAAATCAATATTTTTTTCAGGTGCAATGAAGAATATTTAGCCACAGCAGGGAATAGAATGTCTAGAAGTCAACTACGCCACTGTCTTAAAAATGTTAAAGCTTTATATGAAGAATTTTGGGTAAGTCAAAGTAAAATACAATATATCTTTGTTGACATTTAGAATATACAAGGCTCATTTACGTTTCCTGTTCGACAATGGTGTAGGAATTTTGTGTAGCATCACTGGATAAACTAAAGGATTTTGATGTTTGGAAGGTACATATTTGTGAATGAAGAATGATTTTGTTTTCAGGAGATACCTATGAACCATTCTGACAAAGTAGAAATAGCCGGATCTGGGACAAAAAACAGATACAGAACTATTATACCTAGTAAGTGAAATTTAACAGGATCATATTGTTTGGTGTATGTGATAACTCATATTTCGATAGTATTTTTTGACAAAAAAAAAAAAAAACTGATGCTCTTTGCATATACATTTTGGTGTTTGATTATCAAATAAACTATGTGAAAATATGACTTATTATTTCAGATGAAAGCACTAGGGTAAAATTAGAAGAAGTAGATGGGGACCCCCTTACAACATATATTAATGCAAACTATGTCAGGGTAAGTTAAGTTTATGGGTCAGGTGGCATGAAGGGTTATTCAAAACCAATTTTAATGGCGAAACATCTAAATCTATTTTGTCACTTTACAGACATATATTAATTGACACTGTCAGTTATGTCAGCATCTTTATTAACAGTCACAAAATAGCTTAAATATTTCAGACAGTGCCAGACTCCATGTAATATGATTATGTATTGTAGGGATATGCAGGAGAAGAGAAAACATACATAGCAACCCAGGGTCCCATGGCGCACACTGTACATGACTTCTGGAAAATGATCTGGCAGGAAAAAGTCCCCATTATTGTGATGATAACAAAACTTAAGGAAAAAGACAGGGTATGGGATTGCAGATGTCTGTGGTTGTTTTTAGGTTAAAATATGTAAAGTTTTCCTGAAGACTGTGACATGTATATTTAAGTACAAACTTGGAGAGAAAATGCCCTTAAACTAGAATCCAGGACTTAGTGAACAGGAGCTATTTGTTCCAGTCCCAGGTGGTAATGGAAAGCTGGATCAGTTGACTGGCGACATCCTTTCTTGATTAGTTTTGTGGTTTCTCTGTGGTTAGGCTAGGGTCATGCGACTATAGGAAATTTTCCCCAGGGGATAATAGAAAATTTAGAGTATTCAGTTAGCTTTGTGTCATTTTAATACTGATGTTTGAAAACTGTTATTTGGTTAGATCAAATATGTGCTTGGTAGGACCTTGTCAGGGTTGGGGTTCATATACTAAATACTACAGAAAATTAGAAAAAATGTTTGCTGATTTGATTTTTTTTCTTGGTGATTGTTGCAAAAAATGTATTCCCTGTTGCTAATGATTAAGCAGCTGGCTTGACATAGAGAAGAAAATAACATGTATTTGCTGAAAGATTGTAGCCAATTTATTTTTCCAGGACATTGATTAAAATGATGCCTATTTTGCTATGAGTAAATATGAAGTACATCTCTCATTTGTCACAAAATCTTTCTGTTAAAGCTGTTTAAGGAAGAGTTTTGTTTTGTAGAGTAAATGTGAAAGCTACCTCCCAGTCACCCAGGGTGAATACAGTGGGATCCATGTGACAGTGCAGGACACAGAGGAACATGAAGGCTTTACCCTAAGGAGACTGCTTCTACAGGTCAGTGGACACCAGGAACTAAAGTCCCTGGCTAGAATAGCTTGGAGGTGCACAGTTGGCAAATTCTATATTTCATCCTCTCGTGATGTTTTCAACATTATCAAAAATTCAAGGTCATCATAAAAATTTAGGGATAATCATTTGATGGTTTAGCTCCTAAGTGAACAACTAAGCAAAGGTGTTTGTATTTCATTGTTGAGACTGTTTTTGCACTCTTTGGAGATATGACAGTGAGTTTTATAACATTTTTTTTTCTTTTAGAAAAATGAAGAAAAGCAGATCATATCCCATTACTGGTACACGTCCTGGCCAGACCACAAGGCCCCAGAGACGGCACGTCAGCTCTTAGACCTGGCCACTCTTGTGGAGCAACAGAGACAAGATCTGCAGACCAAGGCCAAGGTGGGACCAGTAGTTGTCCACTGCAGGTGAGCTGTGGGCTTGGGTGGAAAAAAAAAGTTGCATAGGGTACTACATTTCAAATACCCGATGCTTTTACGGAATGAGAACTGAATATATATATTAATAACAGTAAGTATCTAGAACAAATCTTGTGGAACATTTTTTTTTCTTTGATATCATTGAAACATGATGAACATTGTCTATCTCTTCTCTTCATGTAACTCTCATTTTCCTGGTCCCTAACTGTAATTATCATTAGTGTTCCACCACCTCTGCTTTTGTCACAGGTGCCAGAGTTTTCAAGGTTATTGTAAAGCTGAGACTTTCATATCTCTAGTTTCAGTGCAAATGGTCTTGAAAACATGTAATTGAGAGTGTATCTTTCTTAATAGCACCTTTTTAAAATTGATCCATTTCAAGTACATAAAGTACTAAACTTGTATTTTTCCTAGTGCTGGCATAGGACGGACTGGCTGTTTTATAGGCACCAGTATTGGCATGAGACAGCTGGAGGAAGAGGATGCTTTAGACATACTGGGAATTGTTTGTCAGATGAGAAGAGACAGGTAAATGGACTAATTGTTCAATTTTATTTGGTTTGATAGCATAGTAGGTAAACAAAAATGTTACATGTAAACTGAAGTGAATTCAGTTCTAACTTTAATTGGAATATTTTAGATTTGGTATTACATTTGCAAGGATGTCTCTTTACTTGCTGAATTTCTTATTGCAATAAACTATGTACAATTTAGTAGAAATTTAAATGATTATATATTCTTCATGTATTATTTTATCTCTTCTTTTCCAGGGGTGGAATGGTCCAAACCAATGAACAGTATGAATTCCTTCATCGAGCTCTCTGTCTTTATGAACAGCAAATTGAACACATAAAAAAGAAACCTAGTGGATAACACACAACACACATATGCCATGTGGAGGAATATTTTAAATTGTTGTCTCCTATATGAGGCAGGTTGTCACGTGCCAAGCAGGTGTGGTTGTCTTGTCAGTCAGCACAAACCCGGTGTGGGAAGAAGAGAGGAACAGTGCACACATACATATCTTTGTAGTTGTGGTAATTGGGAAGCACAGAGTAGGAAGAAGATGTAGTGATCTAATGGACTACTTGTAACAAATTGGATATTTGTCCAAACTATTGATAGTTGGGTGGTTTGGGGGAAAGGGGGGGGCGGTGGAGACAATGAATTTGATTTGTTGCCTGTTATCCAGGTACAGAGGTTGTCTTCAAAATCCTTGGTGTTCCCAAATGAGTTACACTTTATAAGACGGAATGTCTGTGGAGTTTTGTAAAATGGTTGCAATACAAGCAGTGCCCTGATTGAATAGGACCATAGCATGAGGCAGCTGAAGTTTTTGAAAGCAGTTTGTTGAATAAGGTAGTTGCATACCCATTTTTCTCCTGCAGTGTGCATTTGTTCCAGTAACCATGCCATATTTTCATATCATAGTCAAGTGGGTATTTCTTTCCTCTGTGAGGTTTTAAAATTTGGATTTGTAAAATTTGGGTAAAGTGTCAAAAAAGACACAACAACATAGACAGTAATTGCTTACATAAATCCACTGACTTTGTAATAAAACTTAGATTATTAGATAAGACTGACAGTTGTTATGGAAACCTTTTTTGTCAGGAAAAAACAAAAGTTGAATGACAAAAAAAAAAGATTGAATGCATGGTATGTTTAAAAATCATGTGATGGAAACTTAACTTTCTGGTGCATGGCATGTAAGGAGTATCAAGCTTAGGATTGCTGTTGATCATTGGTATGACACAACTTTGGAGCTTGGAGGGAATAATTTTAAATCTCTGGTCACAAATATGTTGTGCACTAGTTCATGAAATATGATGTGTGTAAATTTTCTACATTGTAAGTAAAAAATGAAATTGTTTTGAAATACTTGCTTAAATTTTTTTGATATTTGGTAATGCAAAGATATTTTCTATTGAGGTATTGATGTAAGGGTCTGTGGTCCTTAAAATGACTAGAATTTGCTGCTACGTGTAGGGCTTTGCTGCCTGTTAACATTTAGCCCTTTGTGTTCAGACGGTAGCAATAACTATGTCTAATGGATCAAGTCTGACTTATAACCAATTTGCTGCACATGCTTTCTACAAAGAAGAAACTGTCATAGTTAAAGGGTTAAAAATGTTATGGAAGTAATGTGCCTTAGGCAGACTGAAAGTTGGTATGCATGTTTAATTTCTGTGATGTTTATCATTTGAATCACTTATGAGCAAATGTATGGACTGATCCCTCAAAGGAAGTGTTTGTAGGAAGTAACAGAAATATGTTTTATTTTATTGTGCCATACCTTCATTTTCAGATTGTCTAAATGTTCAGTATATATAAGGTGCCTTGGCTAAATTGAATATTTAAACTTAACTAAACTGTGAACATGACCTTGCTTGTGAATATGTTTTATTATGAAAAGTTTTGTGGCAATATAACCAATTGTCTGTTCCTAAGAAAACACTCGTCTATATGTTTGTGTAATAAGTGGCGTTTCATTATGGTTGTCATTGAAACTGAATACAGCTGTAACAATAACTGTTTTGGTTTAAAGAAATTCAGCAGTGGAATGTTGTAATGTAGCAGTGTAAATTTCAGATTCCTTTTTTCTTAAACAGACACTTTCTGATTACTCACAAAGGGAATATAGATCATCACTGCCATTGGGTTCCATTTAATACTTTGCCAATGATTTATCAAAAGATTAACTTAAAACCAATCTATGATCTTAGTGATTGTGATACTTGCAATGTAGAGGTTGAAAACTGCATCTTGACAGCCTTTTACTTCGCAGTGGTTAATTGCAATGGATTGATTCAGAAGTCAGTTCAAACAAGTTGTCATTGCTTCACAACATAGTGACAGCAATTGTAAGGTACAGACATTTGAGAATACGGTTCCAGGAGTATTGTATATGTGGCCACCTGTTCACTGCCAATGTCACCACATGGGTAACCCACTCCTTACTGCCACTGGACTGGACACACTCAACGAGATGTGATTTTGGTCTCTCATTTATTATTCCTGCCATGTTGTTTTTCATTTAGTTCTTTACGAACAGAGACTTAACAAGTAACTTATCAATGTAGGGAGATCTAGTCAAACAGCAGACAAAGCATGTTTTCATCATGAGTTATGATTTGCAAGGTTAACTGTTTACAAGATTTTATTTTGCAAATGAGAGAATCTATATTGTGATTGTGATATTTTGAACATGCACTGTAAATGTGCTGTACAGCTGTAACATAGCTAGTGTACATACATCCTTTTATGTCAAATATTTTATGAACAGAACTGACTGTTCTCTACCAGTGCAAAATTATTGTCGTAAAACTTTATTTTTCAAGGGCAATAAAGTGTGTATTGTATTAATACCTTCATAGTATTATTTTTGTTATCCCACAGTGATTTTGAATTTAATTAACGCTCAGTTATTGAGGATTAGTGATACTGCTTGCCTAGGATTGTGTTTGTTTCAGAATAACGAAATCTTTTCAGTGACTCTATCTAACCAAACTGTTCCTCTGATAACTTTTAAAAGATAAAATATTCATAGAAGTATTTTCTTTGTAAAAATGAAAACTTTTTAAATCAAATCTGCACTATGTTTACTAAAATGGAATACTCTCTACTCTTAGCTTTTATGACCACAAAAGCAGAGTAAACTTCAGAGGCGGATCCAGAGATATTTTCTGACAGTCTTCCAAATTATCTTTGTTGGTCCATCCTCATTTTTGACCGTCTTCCGACAGAAAAAATTACATACCCATCAATGTAAACTTGAAAATCTGACCGTCTTCTAGGACTGCATTCCCACGGATTTTTAGATTGATCTATCCCTGTGGGGAGTCTCACTAGATTGGTGTCAGCTTAGGCGGCTTAATTGTCTGACTGGCCTATTAAAAGCTGTAAGGGGGTAATAACTTTCGTGCGCGCTCGGCTGGCAGCAATTTAGTGTGAACCCCCAGGGAGTTAGGTCGCTCCAGATGGATCCATCTAAATCTGTGGGAACCCAGTCTAGAAGACCCAGAAGATGGCCTCAATCCGCACCTGAACTTCACTTAAGACATGTTAATTTGTCAACTGTGCAGGTAACCTTTAACCAAAACCAGTGCATGAAGTGTGACTTAAAACAATAGCCAAAGGTTCCTGATCAGAAAATCAAATTACTCAAAAGTCAATTAATGCATACAGTTAAAAAAAAACACCTTAGTATGAAGCTGCATGACTAACAAAGAAACTGTATAAGGAGACATTGAAGGTAATCCAGCACTTTACCTCTCTTTGACACTGTCTTCTCGGATATATGCGTCTAAACCATATTTAGGGAAGTGAGTATAATGCATGTCTTGCAAAAAAACCTAATTTATTTGACATTTAAATAGACCACGAGTGCCTAGTTTCTACTCAAAAATAATCATGGGAGTTATATTCTAGTAATGAACTACGACTTACTTTTGTAATACATAATTTTTATAAGTAATTACTTTTTGACTTTATATATGTATGATTGTGTTTGTAATTTATTAAACGTAATGTAAGACCTCTTCAATATTAAACCAGACTTTACCTATGTGCTTATTTAATATTCGACCAGTCTCTTACTTCTACTTTGTGTTCAACATTACATGTATATATAAACATTTCCCTTTACTTTGATATTTTACAGATGTCAGACCAATCTATACCTTTGGATAGTGGAGATGCATCCAGCTGGCCTCCCTGGGTCAACTTGGGTGTCCCCATATTGTCAGTGGTTTTGTTTGTGGTGTTTATGGTCTTCATCTACTGGTGGGAGCCCAGCTTTCCTCATAATGTAGGAACTCAGACTGATCCACTGGTATGACATCCATATATTTATATATCCACCCTTAATAAAACTAAGCTTTCATAAAATATGTGGTGACAATATTGGTTTGAAACATAAAAAGAAAAAGATAAACAAAAGTTATGAACTTCTCAGTTGACTGTGAAATAGTTAAGCACGTGTGGATAGAAGTGGAACAATGGGTAAACCAAACAGGTCTTAGTTAAAAAATATGATGTTTAGATATTATTTCAGGAATCAACTGTAGTAATTATGTAAAAAATCAATTTGAAATCTATATGTTAATTTTTTTAATCATCAATATAGTACCAGACAAACAATTACTTGATTGTTAAACCTATTTTTATATTAGTTTTGCTTAAAAGTATTGGAAAACTCAAATCGAGCCATGCAACTATGCTTTTGTGTGATAGAAAGAGAGTGTGCTGTCAATACAAGTAAGGAGGTGCATGAGACAAGTGTTCATGCATATGCATGTATGTGTATTTTGTTTTTATTATATTCTCAGTATTTTATATTTGTAAAGGAATAAAAAGATTAAAGCTCGCTTTTCTCAGTCTATTTGAACTAAGAGTTTTGAATAGACAATTTTGCTTAAAAAAATTAATCAACCAATCTGGATCATGCAAATACTGAAAACTGATTAATGCTCTTCTTTGTGTCAATTTTCCAAGCTAGAAGATGTGTTAGAGGTGATGACATACCAATCTACTAGTGGCACTGGTGCTGCCCCACGCCAAGATATCCACCATGCACTGAACCGGGATGCAGGGCAGATCATCAGTGAAAATGGTGTGAAAGTGGGCATGATAGAGCAAAGGGAAACTGGAGCTTGTGCAGAAGCTTCAGGAAAAAATGGAACCGATTTGGCATTGGAACCAGGCCCTGTCGACATTCAAGAGACTGTCATTGATGAATTGATAGGAGTGGAGAACCCTGGGTTCATTGATGATGACTCTGAAGATGGGTCATTTGAGGTCAACATTGAGAAAATTACAGCTCTTTAAATTTTGCTTGGCTTTTGTTGCTGTGCACTTAAGGTGCAGAGAAAATTTTTTTATCAATATTTACTATTGATTTCATTTAAAAAGAGAGACATTTACATTTGACCATAACCTGCTATGTGTATTTCCCTATATTCATTTCTTGATGTTTAAAGACCTGTCTAGAAAATATGGAAAATGACTTATGGAAGCTACAAAAATATAAGAAATACGCTGTCAAAATCTAGGTGGATGACTATATGATATATATACAAGTGGCAGGGGCGGATCCAGAAATATTTTCTGACAGTCTTCCAAATCATCTTTGTTGATCCATCCTCCATTTCTGACCGTCTTCCGACAGATTAAAATTAGATACCCGTCCGTGTAAATTTGAAAATCTGACCGTCTTCCGGAAGACCCAGAAGACGCCCTAAATCCGCCCCTGAGTGGGACAAACAGTTATTTTGTCTTTGCTAATTGCATATTTTTATGACAGCAAAATGGTAAATGTAGATTCTTCTGTTATTATCAAAAAGTCCTAACTGCATGCTTTGGGGAGAGGAGACCCTTCAAACCAGAGGTTTGTTAATCAGATTAAAAAAATTAACTTTGCATATCTTATTTTGAATTATTGGACAGGAATACACTTGAATTGTTTTTTCTCTCTTTTTGTATTTTAACATGAAATTCAAAGCAAAGTGCATACAAGTACAAAAACCATTTTCAATGCATTGTATCATCAAAATGCTGTACTAAACACCATTTAGAAATATTTCACACAATTTATTTGATTTACTATGAATATAAAAAATTGTTGAACCATATCCTGTTGTTGTAGGGGCACGAGTCTGTTTTCAAGTATCTGTACTAGATACTAGCTCAAAACATTATTTGGTGCACCCATGTATTAAGAAGTCGATTAAAAGGTATTTCTTCTGGATGCTTATGTTGACTTAGCCTTCTAGTACGACCTATTATTTTGGTGAACATAATTTGAATAGACCAACAGTCAATACAGCAAAGTAAACACCACACAAAGAATACGACATTGAAAGTCTTAGCATGTGCCGCAGCATATTTAAGTGGCCTGTGCTGTCTACCCATTGATACATTGAATCACTGATGAAACAACATTTACCAGACGCGTGCTGTTGAAGGTTAGAAGTTTGCACTGCATGGAGACCCCTGTAGACCTCTTTTCCTCCACAACTTAATCTTATCAAAGTTCCCAACAACGTGCGTATTATAGTTAGGATATGGAACTGGGCAATTGGGTCACTACAGTATGAACGGTAAGAAACAACTATGACCTTTCAATTTGATTTTTTTGACTTCTCACTACTCATTGTAAGTGCACTCACTGGCCCTCTCACCAGTTAAGTGTGTATTTATTCTGGAAGTTGAATGCAGTCACATAAAATACATATATGCACCTGTATAAGGTGAGTTATTATAAGCATGAAGGTGCTGCTCAATTTGACTTCAGACATCAATTATCATTTGTCAATCTCGTGCACACTTTTCACGTTCACCAGAAGCTTAAAACCAAAGACTGATGTCTCGGACTGATAGTGTATGGGCACAATGCACTGGACCCGGTCTTGTTACTGGACATCTCCACTTAAACTGGTGTTAAGTATTTATCCCACCTGGGATTGTCACCTTTGAACAAAAGACCCAAAATTTGATACAAATTGATTCCAAGCTGTTGAACATGTGAAAGCCCATATAGACTGTGAGCACATTTATTGGTCAATAGGGAACCTTGAATACAAAAGAAGTATTGATTTTTATGAGAGTAATACTGGTCAGTTCATAATATACAGCATGTGTGTATGTGTGGGAAGGGAGAAATACTCTACATGTTACACACGTTAGGTGAGTAAGCTGTAAATAATTACAACTTAAACCAAATTAGCCAGGTGGAGCACCAATACTAAGATGTTGAAAAAGATATACATGACCAGCATACTGGCATGTACATGTTACCCTTAATTTACATGTGCTACTGTTATGCTGAAAGCTATAGGTAGGAAGTAGGCAGGTACTAGGTAGGTACAAACATACTGTACATGTTAGGTAGAGTACAGCCATCCAAAAATATGACATCAATACCGTCAGTGATCTTATAGCAAATAACTGTTGACACCACCTATATGCAGGTTATTTTTATTTTGGATATTTGCTGCCTAATATTGAATTCTCACCTGTATGAAGGCAGACTACACACACACACACACACACACACACACACACACACACACACACTAGTACATGTATGGCACAGGCACCTAAAGATCACATTGTTAATCTTTGCCCTGTAACATGGCTTCCAGCACTCTATGGAGGGCTGGGGATGTTAATTTATTTCATTTCATGGAGCCAAGGGTTTCCTAGGTTTTGAAGATGCTTAAATAAAAGCTTTCAAAGCCTGTCTAAAATGTTCTGATTAGCCAATTTGTAATGAAATAAAAGAAGTCAAAGATAAGTGTACTCAGTATCCATACATATGTGAAAAAAATTAAAAAGTACATTACTGAATAATGAAAGATTATGAAATATATATTGCTATTCATGATTGCTATTTGTGAATACTAATAAAATGAACTATGAGTAATTATCAGGCCTGCAGCCAGCAATTTCCAATGTGAACCTTTTTACCCCTTTGTTGGCCATGCTTGAGGCATACCATAGAACCCATGTGGCCATAAGGGTACATGGTTCTATCAAACCCCCACTGAATCCCTCACCAGCCTCCAAAGGTCCGATTTCCTAAAAGTAAAATAGCTCTTTTTTAACTCATATTCCAAACTTATTAACACTTGCATTTTGGTCCAGTGATTGTGAAAATGACTTTTGTAAGCCTCAGTCTTCTCTCCACTTTATAAGTAGGAGACCTGATTTTTTTTTTTTTTCTGTTTTGGGGAAAAGGGTGACAAGGTCTAAAACAATGATCAGTCATAAAAATGTTTTTTTTTAAGGAAATTTGCTGCCTTTGTCTGTTATAATCTTGGTGTTTTTACTGTCACAGTGGTGGTGCATATTGGTGCTAAGGCAACATTTGGTGCTAGAATGGCATCTAAAATGGGACTTTCTAACTATGATTTATGACATGTTTCTCACCGAAAGGGAATCTTTCATAATGTCATAAAGTATTTCCCTTATCTGAGATAGAACCAATAGATAAAAACAAAATAAACCAACTGACTCATGTTAACACAGAGTTTGTTAAATAGGATAAGTGCAAATTGGGGATCATAAAAGAAAATTGAAACTCACGCTTTTCTTGTTGATTAAGGCACTAAAGTGAAATTGAGACTTGGGTTATATCAAATACTACCTTGGCTGAGCAAAGCTCATAGATAAATGGCCCGATGGATATAAGATCCTGTGTACACCACGTGAAATGCAGTTGTCACTTTATAGATATTTTTTTACCACCAAGGGTTTGTAGTTGCACATCACTTTAGCAAATAAATATTTAAAATCTTTCAATAATCATATTTTTGAAAAAATGAATTATATTAATTGATTCTATCTGGAGAAAAATCATCATCTTACTGTAGGTTTATGGCTTCTAAAAAAAATATTTATTTTAGGTTATCACGAACACTGAGAGCTTTTGACATTGATGCAAAGTCAACATAATGGCGGATGAATGGAAGATATATCTGGCCATTGGAATACCTTGTGGCTTGGTGTTTATGTTCATTATCCTGTTCTTCATCGTTTTCTTCTGCCGTCGTCTCACACCTCCTCCCATACTTGAGTATGCTGATGAGGCTGAACAAAAAAAGCGACAGGTAAAGTAGAACAAGGAGCTATATTCTTCTTCACCAACAGTTAGTCATTCTATTGCATTTATATAATAGCAGGTGATCACATTACACACGCAATATGTTTGGCAATCGCATTTTATCTTTTAAAGAATTCAAAAGTGACATGTACTAACTTGTTTATGTTGAGTTTCCACTCATTATTATGATAATATTACTATCAGTATTATTTATAGGCCTTTTTTATTAACTTCATGTACTTTTACAGCTGGAGGCATCTAAGTCCAATGGGGAAACACAAGGTTCAAATCCAAACCTGACGTCTGAAGAGGAGATCCCAATAGAAGTGACCATCCTCCAAGGATACAAAAGAAAGCACACAAAATCTGGACATTCCAATGCTGCCTTCAGTGAAGATAAAGAACAGTCCATTATTAGGAAAAAGCACTATCACCCCAGCAGAGCAGCCTATGCCAAGGCAAAAGCCTTCACTAAGCCATCGCCTATTCAGGAAGTAGACGAGATAGGCAGTACCAACAGTCTTGCTAGGAGTAAGGAGTCATTCCAAAGCCCAGAACTACACCTTACAACAATAATGGATGGATCCCCATATCAGAGAAGAGATAAAAGTTTAGAGGACATTAGAGAACCTAGTACACATACAGTGGATGGTGTTCATATAGAGGATGAGCAACACTCAGCACCCAACTTTAAATCATTTACTTCTTTAGGTTCATTGGAAAATATTCTTAGAGACTTTCCTTTAGACAAACACAAGGACGATGACTCAAAATCTCATGATTCCAAGCAATCAATGCACCATGATGAAACTGACCATTCTATATCATCTACTGGAGAACATCAGCAATCACAACATCAAGAGGAAACAACAATGCCTCTGAAAGACCAAGAATTACAATTTCAAGAACCTCCTGCTCCGAGAGTTCCAGAATTTAAAGCACTAGGCACACTCATGAATTTAGCCTTTCAAGCTTCCAGTGAAAAACTAGATAATGCTTTTTCTAATAGGAATCAAGGATTTAGAAAATCACTGGAAAATATCGGTAAAGGTTTAAAGGCTTCAGAAAGGGCAGCTATGAGGAGAGAAAAAATGGTCTCATCAGCTTATCAAAACCCTGGATTTCAGGCTTCAAGTGAGAGCTTGGATGAACCTATACTTGCAGAAAGGGTGAGAAAATCAGTATCCAAAGAAAGACTGACTAAATCTGCAGAAAACTTGCATTTCCATTCGATGGCACCAACACAAAGTAGTGTGATCACAGACGTTTGACCCCCCAAATAATATCTGCACTAAAAAATTAATGCTCAGCAAATTACTACGTTAAACAGAATGCAAATTAACTGGTCTTTTAATATAATAGAAACATTTATGTTTAATAGAATAGGGTATATTGCTTTGTCATCTGTCTATTATATCAGGAGATGTGTTTTCTTTGTAATTTATAAACTTACAATTTTAGCCAAAAGTATAGAATTTTAATTACATTCCATCCAGTGCTTTAGAAAGCAATAATGTGAAATGCTATGCAAAGAATGTCATTTATCTTTTTTAAAAATATTTTTACAAAAAGTAGGCCAGGTAAATTTTATACCTACATATTTTAGTTATTGTGCGTAGTTTAATTAAATATCCTATCAGTAGGCCTATTTAGCAAGTGCTTACTCTAAAATGAACTTAAGTATTAGTTAAAAATTACAAAATGCCACAGCTATTTTCCTATTTAAAAGTAGGCAATATAGCTGAAATTAAATACTTTATTGATATTGCTGTGGAAAAATTCTCCAGTTGGTCCAAGTTATAAGCCAAGCAAAAAATGTAGAATAGGGAAACTTCTATGTGCTGTATAAAAAGTATTCAAAGTGATTTTGAATAAAATGTCATTTTATCTCTTCCTATATATAAAGGATACAAAAAATAGTGAACTAGTAATTATATGATCCATTATTTCATACAAGAATAAATATTTTCATTTAAATTCTTGTTTTGGCACCAAGTTTTAATACATGCTTGCTTTAAACAGTTTTCTAGTACAGGTTTTGGCTATTTTAAAAATTATCCAAATAATGGAAGCCAAGTATGAGAGTACTCAACTTAAATGTCAAATACTACAAACGTTGCAGTATCAATAAGGTTTTGCCTTAAACATGTCCAAGTTCAGAGGTCTCAATCACAACTCTGAATACAACCTGCTCCTGTGTTCACTGCACAGAAATAGTAATACATGTATGACATATTCATCACACTATTACAATACACAGCTGAAGGCCAATTGCACATTAGTAACCTCCAGAGAATTTCTATCCCAACTCAATTGTCTCCTTGGTTCATACTGACAAAACTGTACCTCATGTCAACCAGCTTCTTCCAGAAGATATTTCTTTACAGACAACTCTTTACTTTTATCTTTTGGCCAAAGTCTTGTTTGCAAATGATATAACTGCGGCCCATAACAAACAGTTCCTGGGCACAGGAGATCATGTTGCACCCAACTCCTTCCTCATTCCCCTGGGTCAGAAGTCTAGTTTGCTGCTCCCTGTGCTACAGCCTACAGTCTTGGGTTCGACCACTACATCCTTGTCCTCCTGTGGACGGCTGGCTGTATCTGACAACTCTGGGGGCAAGTGTAGTTTCTATGGGCAGAACAGAGTATATCATATAAATAACATTTAATTGACAAACATANTGTGGGGGGGCGGAGAGACTATTAAAAGATTAGGCGGTTTTTCTTTCATGTACGTCCGCCATTTTTAGGTCACCAGCTTTGTAAAGCTTGGCTTAATTCGTTGAGAATGCGCTCTAAAACAATGATCAGTCATAAAAATGAATTTTTTTTAGGAAATTTGCTACCTTTGTCTGTTATAATCTTGGTGTTTTTACTGTCACAGTGGTGGTGCATATTGGTGCTAAGGCAACATTTGGTGCTAGAATGGCATCTAAAATGGGACTTTCTTACTATAATTTATGACACGTTTCTCACTGAAAGGGAATCTTTCATAATGTCATAAAGTATTTCCCTTATCTGAGATAGAACCAATAGATAAAAACAAAATAAACCAACTGACTCATGTTAACACAGAGTTTGTTAAATAGGATAAGTGCAAATTGGGGATCATAAAAGAAAATTGAAACTCACGCTTTTCTTGTTGATTAAGGCACTAAAGTGAAATTGAGACTTGGGTTATATCAAATACTACCTTGGCTGAGCAAAGCTCATAGATAAATGGCCTGATGGAAACAAGATCCTGTGTACACCACGTGAAATGCAGTTGTCACTTTATAGATAATTTCTTTACCACCAAGGGCTTGTAGTTGCACATCACTTTAGCAAATAAATATTTTAAATCTTTCAATAATCATATTTTTGAAAAATGAATTATATTAATTGATTCTATCTGGAGAAAAATCATCATCTTACTGTAGGTTTATGGCTTCTAAAAAAAAATATTTATTTTAGGTTATCACGAACACTGAGAGCTTTTGACATTGATGCAAAGTCAACATAATGGCGGATGAATGGAAGATATATCTGGCCATTGGAATACCTTGTGGCTTGGTGTTTATGTTTATTATCCTGTTCTTCATCGTTTTCTTCTGCCGCCGTCTCACACCTCCTCCCATACTTGAGTATGCTGATGAGGCTGAACAAAAAAAGCGACAGGTAAAGTAGAACAAGGAGCTATATTCTTCTTCACCAACAGTTAGTCATTCTATTGCATTTATATAATATCAGGTGATCACATTACACACGCAATATGTTTGGCAATCCCATTTTATCTTTTAAAGAATTCAAAAGTGACATGTACTAACTTGTTTATGTCAAATTTCCACTCGTTACTATGATAATATTACTATCAATATTATTTGTGGCGCTTTTTTCATTAACTTCATGTACTTTTACAGCTGGAAGCATCTAAATCCAATGGGGAAACACAAGGTTCAAATCCAAACCTGACGTCTGAAGAGGAGATCCCAATAGAAGTGACCATCCTCCAAGGATACAAAAGAAAGTCCACAAAATCTGGACATGCCAATGCTGCCTTCAGTGAAGATAAAGAACAGTCCATTATTAGGAAAAAGCACTATCACCCCAGCAGAGCAGCCTATGCCAAGGCAAAAGCCTTCACTAAACCATCGCCTATTCAGGAAGTAGATGAGATAGGGAGTAGTAATAGTCTTGCAAGGAGTAAGGAGTCATTTCAAAGCCCAGAACTACACCTTACAACAATAATGGATGGATCCCCATATCAAAGAAGGGATAAAAGTTTAGAGGACATTAGAGAACCTAGTACACATACAGTGGATGGTGTTCATATGGAGGATGAGCAACACTCAGCACCCAACTTTAAATCATTTACTTCTTTAGGTTCATTGGAAAATATTCTTAGAGACTTTCCTTTAGACAAACACAAGGACGATGACTCAAAATCTCATGATTCCAAGAAATCAATGCCCCATGATGAAACTGACCATTCTATATCATCTACTGGAGAACATCAGCAATGGCAACATCAAGAGGAAACAACAATGCCTCTGAAAGACCAAGAATTACAATTTCAAGAACCTCCTGCTCCGAGAGTTCCAGAATTTAAAGCACTAGGCACACTCATGAATTTAGCCTTTCAAGCTTCCAGTGATAAACTAGATAATGCTTTTTCTAATAGGAATCAAGGATTTAGAAAATCACTGGAAAATATCGGTAAAGGTTTAAAGGCTTCAGAAAGGGCAGCTATGAGGAGAGAAAAAATGGTCTCATCAGCTTATCAAAACCCTGGATTTCAGGCTTCAAGTGAGAGCTTGGATGAACCTATACTTACAGAAAGGGTGAGAAAATCAGTATCCAAAGAAAGACTGACTAAATCTGCAGAAAACTTGCACTTCCGTTCAATAGCAGCAACACAAAGTAGTGTGATCACAGATGTTTGACCTCCAAAAAATGCATGCACTAAAAAATTAATGCTCAGCAAAATGCTACTTTAAACAGAATGCAAATTAACTGGTCTTTTAACTGTATATTAGAAACATTTATGTTTAATAGAATAGGGTATATTGCTTTGTCATCTGTCTATTATATCAGGAGATGTGTTTTCTTTGTAATTTATAAACTTACAATTTTAGCCAAAAGTATAGAATTTTAATTACATTCCATCCAGTGCTTTAGAAAGCAATAATGTGAAATGCTATGCAAAGAATGTCATTTAACTTTTTTAAAAATATTTTTACAAAAAGTATGCCAGGTAAATTTTATACCGACATATTTTAGTTATTGTGCGTAGTTTAATTAAATATCCTATCAGTAGGCCTATTTAGCAAGTGCTTACTCTAAAATGAACTTAAGTATTAGTTAAAAATTACAAAATGCCACAGCTATTTTCCTATTTAAAAGTAGGCAATATAGCTGAAATTAAATACTTTATTGATATTGCTGTGGAAAAATTCTCCAGTTGGTCCAAGTTAGGCAAGTTATAAGCCAAGCAAAAAAAATTTAATGTAGAATAGGGTAACTTCTATGTGCTGTATAATTCAAAGTGATTTTGAATAAAATGTCATTTTATCTCTTCATATAAATAATGGATACAAAAAATTATAGTAATTAATATGTATGTAATATATATGTATGTAATATATATGTAATATATATGTAATAGTAATTATAGTAATTATATGATCCATTATTTCATACAAGAATAAATATTTTCATTTAAATTCTTGTTTTGGCACCAAGTTTTAATACATGCTTGCTTTAAACAATTTTCTAGTACAGGTTTTGGCTATTTTAAAAATTATCCAAATAATGGAAGCCAAGTATGAGAGTACCCAACTTAAATGTCAAATACTACAAACGTTGCAGTATCAATAAGGTTTTGCCTTAAACATGTCCAAGTTCAGAGGTCTGAATCACAACTCTGAATACAACCTGCTCCTGTGTTCACTGCACAGAAATAGTAATACATGTATGACATATTCATCACACTATTACAATACACAGCTGAAGGCCAATTGCACATTAGTAACCTCCAGAGAATTTCTATCCCAACACAATTGTCTCCTTGGTTCATACTGACAAAACTGTACCTCATGTCAACCAGCTTCTTCCAGAAGATATTTCTTTACAGACAACTCTTTACTTTTATCTTTTGGCCAAAGTCTTGTTTGCAAATGATATAACTGCGGCCCATAACAAACAGTTCCTGGGCACAGGAGATCATGTTGCACCCAACTCCTTCCTCATTCCCCTGGGTCAGAAGTCTAGTTTGCTGCTCCCTGTGCTACAGCCTACAGTCTTGGGTTTGACCACTACATCCTTGTCCTCCTGTGGACGGCTGGCTGTATCTGACAACTCTGGGGGCAAGTGTAGTTTCTATGGGCAGAACAGAGTATATCATATAAATAACATTTAATTGACAAACATAACCACCAAACAGGCAGTGTCATAATATGGACACCAACTCTTACTTGCCATTTATACAGAACCAAGAATAAAAATACAATTTGTAACTCAAATTAGATTAAGGTTCAAAACGACTTTAAATGATATAAAGTCTTATGTATTTTAAATATATTTTAGATATATACATACTACTATATTTATTTCTCTCCTTTTCGAATTTTCCTTTATTGTTGTGTTGTACTAGAAAAACTGAGCATTGGTATTTTAAAAACCCATAAAGAAAATACACAAATCAAATCCTTACCTCAATGGTGAACTTTTTCCGTCTCAGTTTAAATGCCAGATCTAAGGAGTCAGGCATGTGACAGGTGAGAGAGTTTAACCTCGGGATTTTAAGAATATGAAACAAGCCTGAAATAGGAATTGAAAAATTGGAGATTCAAAATATCTGGAACAAGCCTGAAATAGGAAGTGAAAAATTAGTGATTCAAAATACCTCACTTCACCCACAAAAATGTATAAAAACAATTGCCAATACTTTAGAAATTATTATTACTATATACTAAAAAACAATACAAAATACTATGCATACTAAATCAAGCACAAATCAATTGTAATTCAAAGGTAAACTGGATGTAGATTTATTCAAACATCTTGTAATACAAGCATTAAACTGCACTTTATCAAATCTCCAACCACTACAAAAGAAAACTGATATCAAAGCTGTTACCATGGTAATCCTTATAGACTGGATTTGTTTCTCTCTCAGAGCCAACAAATGATTCAAGCTGTACTACTGTATCACACATGTTTTCTATCCTTCTAGTAAATGCAGTATCCTGGAAATAAAACATCACATTTTATATTGATTTTTGTACATCAAAGCATACACAGCTTCTGAAAATCAGCCAGATTTCATTTATATGACAGTTTAACCCCTATAAAAATAGTGGGAACATTTTATAAATCTTTGAAGAAATAAAATATTTTCATTATTAGTGACAGCACAATGAACGATCTAAAATATGTTAAATGTGATGTACATCACTGTGTTAAAGTAAGGCATTCAGATTAAAGTTCAAAATACATATAACTTTAACCTACATTAAATATATATGTTGGCACAGTTATCAGACAGGAAGCAAAGGCAGATCTGAGTAGTGCTCTGAGACCATAGAGAAACCTGGGCAGAGATGGATCGTAACTGTCTGGATTGACCTCACCTTCTCCCCATAGTGGTGAGCCAAGAGAATGGATGGCTGAAAACAATGTCACTCTATAGAACTTATCACATGGTTATGGTAAACACATGGTAAACATGGTTATGAATATCAATGCCGATAGCGATTTTGAAATCTAAGGTTCTATTCCCATAGATTTTAGATCGATCTCTCCCCGCGGGTAGTCTCACTTGATTACTTTCAGATAATCCGACTTAAATGTCCGTCCCGCCTACTACAAGCTGTACGAGGGTAATTAACTTTCGTGTCCGCCCGGCTGACAGCTATTTAGCGTGAACCCCCAGGGAGTTAGGTCGATCTAAAGTAGGTCGATCTTATCTATGGAAATGGGGTGCAAGTCAGCATATGAAATTACTCAATTATGGAAAAAACTTGTGCTGTACGAAAAAAACATGCATAGGATGGTAAGAATGACAAATAACTTTCAAAAAGCAATCAATAAAAATGTTCCAAATCAAATTTTAGCATGTTTCAAATTTTATAAATGTTTGAAATGGAAAATAATAATGACAATTAAAACTCCTTTTCTGTTAAATTCTTTTTACCATATCACATGTACTAAACAAAACACTAAGGACTTGATCTCATGATCTCACCTATCCTAAGTATATTACGTTGCTGCTGTGGTTGTTTACTTGAAGACGTACTGAAGTTCTTATTTATAATGTGAGATTTTATATCCTGAAGTAGCTTCTGGTATGCAGGATTCATTATACTATTTGAATGCCTAAAACAAATTATGTGCATGTTACTAAATTATCATTTTTGACAGGCAAGTAGAAATATATACATTTAGAAGCATCCAATTTTGCATCACCATTCAATAATCAGGAAAATGTTCTATCCACTTAAAAAAGTCATGAAATTTCAACAATCATAAATGGTTTTTGAGCACAGAGAATGTCTCACATTTTACACCTTTACCTGTCAGGTATTTCTTCATCAGGAAGATAGAATTGCCTCATGTCTGTCTTAGCTAATACCTCAGGGTTCATAACTTTAGTCAGATCAAAGTAGTGTCCAAACTTTGTGCTAACTGGAGCTGCCTGAAATACAAAGATGGCATTCACAACGAGTTGAGCCAGGCTTTACAAATCCTGGGGACTAAATATAGCGGTCATACATGAAAGAAAAACAGCCTAATCTTTTAATAGTCTCTCTGCCTCTCACACGCCTCCACACGTCGTCCCTGCGGGGGGACAGTCATTAGATCTCGGCTCCATTGGGACGACACATGGGAAGGCGTGTGAGAGGCGGAGAGACTATTAAAAGATTAGGCGGTTTTTTCTTTCATGTACGTCCGCCATATTTAGTTCCAGGATTTGTAAAGCCATGGCTCAACTCTTTGTGAATGCGATCAAAGACACGTATACAGATAGAACAGAAATCAGAGAAAAAAGCTTCAGTCTCACATTAGACATGGTGCCTTTTTGGATACTGAAAATATTTACACATATTTTGAACTTTAATTTGTGGCTTTACCAGAAAGGTTGTGTTCCTTCACACACATCACAACATTTTATCTTATAGAGTTAAACATCCACAGGTTTTATTTCACATCTGCATATGTTTCAAGGAACCCAAGTTCAAGATAAAACTGGACTTGAATTACCTGTACTTTTGACATATTTTGATATCTCCAAGCAATCTTCATGCTGTCATCAGCCTCACTTGATGAGGGCTGGGCATCTTGTACAGCACCTGGATCATCAACAATTGCAGATGGGAGCTCCTATACAAAAGACATCAAAAGACATTTTGCATCTCTAAAATTCAATATAAGCATTAAATGTGTTCGATACACCCCACTTCAACTGAAATTGTTTTATTCTTTTTCTAGGGAGAAATACAAAATGAGAATAAGAACAATTTTTCATGTCATTTATCAAGTAAGGAAGTTTTTCTAAGGTCTCAAAGTATTGGTCAGGGTGAACCACTGACTATACTGTCCAAGTGACCCAGGAGAAGCTGCTGTTTTAAAATAGCAGTTTCCAGCTTGCCTGTTTCTGAAATAATGGTGCTCACCAGTTTGTGACATGGGTATAATGCAGATGGAAGTAACAATAACAGAGGCCTTGAATGTATGTAAGCCTAAAGGTCTTAAAAGAATTTAGCAAAATTAAAAAAAAAACAGCTAAGAGAAATTACTGACTAACAAGTTAACAACAGGATTCCAGCATACCCCTTAACTATAGGGGGAAAGTATAAAAAAAAACATCAGAATGTATTTAAATATTAAGAAAATTTGTATATGACCACCATAAGCATTACATATGTGACATTTTATTGGAGACTGTCTAATGAATCTGTATGTTAACAATAAATGAAAACACAACAAATATGGCTTACTCAAAGCCACATTATCTTTTTTGTGGTTTCTGCTATTAGTGAATTTTTCTTTGTCATTTAATGTTTGAGAATAAAAAATCTACTATTTCCACATGTAACACAAAGACATACCTTCACTATCTGATCTGGCTTGGTATCTGCAGTTGCCAAAAAGCTGCTATGTCCACAGACAATGCCTTCAGCAATAAAGTACTTCAATAAAAGCTTGCCATAACTTCCATATGTATCTTCCTCTGCAATACATATTCGAATGTTTTAATGAGATTTTTTAAAAGCATGCAGTAATGAGCTTACTGAATAAGCTCTCATCTATAGTAGGTATATCAGACTGATCAGAAAATTATAATACTAATATCTTCTGAAAGGTAATGCAAAAAACAGATGAATTCTTTTGGAATTTTTAAAATATTCCTACAAGCAACAAAGATATTGAAGTTTTTCAACTGCTAAATTTCACCAAAAGTGTCCACAGTTTTCAGCTAAAAACCTGTGACCACTGACCAGCAGTGATCACTCAACTGCAGCAGAGCAGCCTGTTAATGGGCCTTTGGCTCAAATTGCTTGTGACCAATTAAGACAATTAGGACTCTATGTAAATCTAATGACCCAGAAACAAAACCAAAATGGCGACCGCACAAGCACATGGCTGGGATGGCTTCCGTGCAGATTAACTATACTTGGCATCGTTCAAATTTTCACAGGTTTTTCTTCCATAAGATTGCAAATTTCATGAAGCTTAAAGGGTATAATTTACAAAAAAAATGCATGCAGTCCTTACCTAGAACTTTTAAACATTTCGTCGATGCAAAACTTTAAAACATCGGCAAATCAATGTTCTCAAAGATAGCAACATGGGAAGGTAAGGTAACCGGAATTTAGCCTTTGACTGCCAGCTTAGTTAGTAAATGGATTTTATTGGTTTATTTATACAGCGCTAAAAAAGATTTTTGAATGGAATGTCATCTGCGACCTGTGAGCAGGTCGGTAACAGCTTTCCCCAGCACTACGGTTGTACAGGTTCTACTGTAGTAAGTATATCAGAAAATTTTTCAAACTGATCAGAAAATTAAAATACTTATATCTTCTGAAAGGTAATGCAAAAAACAGATGAATTCTTTTGGAATTTTTAAAATATTCCTACAAGCAACAAAGATATTGAAGTATTTTAACTGCAAAATTTCACCAAAAGTGTCCACACTTTTCAGCTAAAGACCTGTGACCAATGACTCAGACCAGCAGTAATCACTCAGCTGTAGCTGCAGCTCAAATTGCTTGTGACCAATTAGGGCAATTAGGGCTCTATGTTAATCTAATGACCCGAAAACAAACCCAAATTGGCGACTGCACAAGCACATGGCTGGGATGGCTTCCATGCAGATCATGTACCATAAATATTGCGCATCATATAAACTATACTTCGCATGGTTCAATTTTCATGATTTTTCGGCATAATATTGCAAATTTCATGAACTTTACACAAAATAAATTACAAAAACTTCCATGCAGTACTTATCTGAAATTTTAAACATTTTGTCGAGGCAAAACTTAAAAACGTCCTCAAATCAAAGTTCTCTAAGACTGCAACACAGAAAATCACGTGACCGGAATTTACTCTTTGATTTACAGCTTATCTAGTAAATGCCTTGTATTTGTTTATTTACATGGCGCTTAAAGAGAGATTTAAAAAAAAGTTTGTCATAGGCGAGCTGTTAGCAGGCCGGTCTCAGTTTTGCACTTCACTGCCCCTGGATAGTTACTACTGTGGCGCCCCTAGCAGATTGTGATATACCTAACTGTAGCGCCCCTTGCAGATTGTGATATACCTATCTATAGTTACAAATTTGCAGTTTAAAATTGTATGGCATACTCACCAACTAGAATTGCTGTGCCAACTGCTATGCCACCACCTGAAAAATATAAATGTAAAAATTACAATAAATATAAAATCTGAATAGGAAACAGATCTGGATATACTGACTGGTTACTTATCCAAATATCATGATCAATAAAGCAAATTTTCAGTAGGGAGCACAGATGACAATAAGTAGCACCAGTTGTTCTTTTTTGCAATCTGTCTTAAAAAAGTGTCTAAGGAGTTGAGCTACTTTTGAACATGACATCTTGGAAAATTGTCAAACATGGTGTCAAATTTAAAGACCCTACAACACGGATATGATTTGATTTAAATCAGATCACTAAAAATTCCATACTCATATATTTGGCTTCCTGTACACCAAATATACAAGCATTATTAATCCCCACCATTATTAGAAAAAACGCGTGACACAACGTCACGATTTTTATTCGATATTTTTTTTTTAATAATTCGAAAAATAATGATATATGCTTAAAAATACTCTTAAAATATTCTACTCATACCAATCACACTATCGAAGGAAGGAACACCCGAAGAAATAAGTAACTGATTGTTGTGTAATGATGGTCTAGTGCCTGGAATTTGTAAAATCTTTGTGCTCACTTTCTTCCGAAAGCTCGTTGTGGGCGCTGCCATCTTTGATTGCATTAGGTGATACTTCCGCTTCCGCAAACAACAAAAACAAACCACAGATGCTTGCAGACGATGTTTTAGTCTTTTTGATTGTTTTTGTTGTTTGCGCCAGAATGACGAACAAAATTGACTATAATCACATATGTTGACAAGAATAAAATATGTTTTTTCCTTTTATGACTTTTAAAATTGTAATTCTGTGGCGCCAAATGCACGCAGACGAACTCGTCGCTCGCGCATCACAACAAACGAAAAGCTCCGTGTCGGAGCAGGTGCTGGGTTTCATGTGAGGTAGAAAGGTAGAATGCATGCGATGTTTGTCTTTTTTATGCATACAGCAAAAGTTAATAGACAAAGTTTTTATGTTAAACTGAATATATTGCACTAATTTTGTGAAAGTTATAGTCAAATAATCCATTTCAATGCTGTAATTTTTGATTTGTTTGTTTTTTAAACAAACTGCATTATTACAGGGTGTTAGTGGTATCTTGAGAAACATGTAAATGTCATAAATTAATTATTTTTATTTTATTACTTTCAGCATTTTTTCTTTATTTTTTATGTTTGAACTAGTAGGAGTTGGATTAGCCAATATGAAATCGATTGTGCACCATTTTAAGTGTAAAAAACCGAGGAGATCTACTAGATTAGAAATCAAGGAACAAGTAGAAACAAAAGGAAAAATTGTCCAATATGGAGATTTGGGGTATTTTGAAATTTTGCCACCAGAATTAAAGACAAGAATTTTCCAGTGTGTTACAAGTAAGCAATTTTTTTTAGGAAAATAGATTTTTAATGATAAAAGTTCAAATAACAGTACTCATATTGATGACTGTGTTGTGGCATGTTTAATTAATTACAAAAATGTATCATTTGAACAAATATTGGTATGATACCAAACAATGTTTTCTGTGAGTTGGTCATTGGTCAAAAGCCATATGTTCACTTCTGTAAATTTGGTTTGGATTTTTTTTGTTGGTTGAAGTATTTAATTGAATTTGTAGGAATAGAAATAAAACTGAATTGACACAGTGCTTTTTTGTTTGTATATTATCAAATTTGATTCAAGTTCTGTAATATTTGTTTTTTATATTTAGTTGAAGAATTGAGTATGCTTGCTTTGTCATCCAAAAATATGAGAAATCGTGTGGAGCAGTATAGATGTTCCAAAGCTGGATTTAAAAGATTTATGCCAATAGCCAAACTTCATTTACCGGCCCCATTGCCAATTGAAGATCAGGCAACATTGCTACATCACTTTTTAAAATTAGGCAAGTATCTAAATTCACACAAATGTGAGTAAGTTTTTTGTAACCCTTTTCAAATTAGACTGACTAGATTTAAGAGAGATTATTTACTTAATAAATTATGAAAGCAAAATTATTTTAACATGAATTATTATTAGATTATAACACACTTTTCAAATTAACCTACAGGTTTACTTATGAAGCGAAGTACATGTCTGTATGCCACAAAAGAGAGATTGAAATTAATAGATGCATATTTGTCAAAGGTAGGATAATTATTAATGTCTAATTTACCTGAATTAGGATACTATAGGATACAAGTACATGAACTGTTTTTTATAAAGATCCTATCAATACATTTAATTTTTATATGTTTGGATTCGGCTGCATTTGCTACAATTTCTTTGAGTGCAAATGGCTGTGGAAAATGTACCCACATTATCTGCTTTTTTGCAACTAACATTATTTTGCTTATTATGATGCTCACACTATAGTTTGCACAATTTCTTCAATTTTCAAAGGACCTTTAAATTGATATTTTATTTTTTCTAAGAGAATTCAGATCAATGTTATTAACATTAATGACAAACAGTTGCTTTGGTCCCTCTGAACTGAAACAAAATCTTTTTAAATTTTCAGTTGTATTGTAAACATTCTAACTGCCCAGATATTTCAAATTGTATGGGGTTGCTGTGCTATGGAACATTTCTGAAATCTGTAATAGCAGGCTGGGATGACATGGAATGTGGGAGAGTCTTTGATTTTATCACCAACAGTACAGGAGTTTCTTCTGACATAGAAGCAATGCTGAAGACAGCACCAGGTATTGTATTTATTTTGATATTTTGATTAATGAGTTGGAATAAGGAATAACATGAAAAAATAAAACAAATCTTTCATCAAACAGATGTTCAATCACATTTTCCCTTTTAGGAAAAAATATGTGTTTCAACTACAGTACTGTGATACAGTAGAAGCATGTATTAGTGATATTTTGTTATTTAGGGTGAAATACCGAAAAGCAGTTAATGGAAGCAAAATATTCAAAATTGATCTTTACAATTTAGGAACTCAAGCAAATAGCAGTGTTGAACTGAATACAAGATTATTCTTCAGAAGAGGCATTTTAGATTTTATTAAAAGGAGAGATGAAAAGACGGCTTGGCTGAGTCGAATTCTTAAACCCCAGCCTATTATATTTCAAGCTAGATTGCTGTATATAATATTTGGACCAGCCTCTGAAGGTATTTGAAGCACATTAACTCAGTTACACAAAAAATTTTTATTGATAATTTAAAGGTAACCTGAACACATTTTAGCAGGCCTGTAGCCAGGGGGTTCCAAACCCCCTCCCCCTTTTTGCTGGGAAAAGGTCCAGTCTGGGTGAAATTTTATCTAAGTACACAGAGGTTTCATGCTAAAAAGGTCCACTTTTTCAGAAAAATACACCCTCCCCTTGTCCCTTTTGAAATTGCTGGCTATGTTTAGGGTCTAACAAATGCTGAATGGCATTACTATACATGTAATATTCTACATTTCAAACTGGAGGTAAAGAGAACTTAGATTAATACCTTTGGTTCTACAGGAGAGATAGAGTGGGATGAAGTGTCAGAAAGTACTCCACGGAATGCACAAGAAGCACAACAACACTTTGGTCAGTTGGCAAGTGCATTGACCATGTTATATCATTACCACAGTGAGTGGTCAGAAGATGATATCATTAGTGTGTTAGATGAGCTTACAAGTGAGTTGTACACTTATATTTTAAAATGTCCAGCAGTGCTTGGTAGTTAAAGTGAAGGTCTGAATGAAGAGTCCATCTGTTAATGAATTGTATGCTAGTCATTTAGTGTTGGAATCTTTGATACAGTTTTAATTTTACTAGATTTTTCAAATGTTGAAGAAATTTAAGAGATAACCCATTAAAACTATATATATATATATATATATATATATATATTTGTCCCATCATTATTAAAAGTCATAAAAACCTTGGTTTGTTAAAAATGTCTAGATTTACCAGATGAATGGGTGTCAGAAAATGTTGCTCATCTTTTGACACTGTGTGGAGACACTATCACTGTGAGGTCCATTGCAAGCAAGGCCATCAATGGCAGAATGCAAGAAGTAGCTAATATCATTACTTCTATAAGTCTGGTGAGTGCTAAATGCAGTCTTTTTATTATTCTTTTTTATGCAGGAGTTTAAAGTGAAATAATATATGCTACAGTAATATATCATTTTGATATATTTTATTTTACATTTTAATGAAAAAAATCACCCTGACACCATTTCAATTGGAGATTAATTTTGTGCCAGATGCATTTTATCTGCAATGCGATCGCTCCGAATTCTAGGTGTGTGTGAAGAACCACTACAACAGCAGTTGGGTAGTCTTCCTGGTTAGAAAAACATGCAGTTTGTTGGACAACCCAAAAGATAAACTGGCTCTCCTCAATAATATTGCAGAGACGTTCAAAGATTCCATTATGGACCTCCATGAGTACGGGGAGTCAGGTAAATGTTGTATAATAAGAATACTAAAATAACTTCAAAGATAAAAATAATGATGAAGAGTCTGTTACTTTAAGTTTGACATTGATAAAAAGAAATAGAACGTTTATTGAAAAAAAATTAAATAACATTGTAAAACCACAGAAACTGACGTCGCATCATTAGATATAATTCATCTTCTTATTTGAAAAGTTAACAGGTAAATGTAATTGTTGTAATTAGAATAAAATAAATATGACATTTTTGTTTACTCAGAAGAGAGAGATGCAGACTTGGAATTTTTGGTGACTGCCCAAGCAGAATTTATGAAGGAAGTTCTTCCGCTAGCCTTTGATGATTCACTCAGTGGAAGGAAATGCAGCATTGGTTAAATCTCTATACAAGTTGCAAAAATGAATGACTACTACACATACAAATTATTCACAAGTAATTCATGATTTGGTTAACAGAAAAGGTTTTTACTTGACATGATGCCTTCATAACGTTATTGGGGCTAACTGCATCAATGTGAACTGCTTTTTCTCCATTAACCAGTGTTATTTCTATATAATTCATCTTCTTATTTATTGATTGTTAATGTGGTTATCTCTGTGATAATATTTATGTGATATACATTTTCACTTAAATTTACAAATTGTAGTTAAAGGAACTTTTTTATACTTTTCACGTCACATGAATTAAACCAAGTACTATTGAGATAGTTTATGTTATAAATGAGGAATAATATAGATCATATTTTATTGTAAGACAGCCCATTCCTACTAAAAAAGGTACAGAAAACATTTTTGTTTTCTAATTAAGGTCAAACAGTGCCAGGTTGTTTTTAAGTTTCACGATAATAACTTTTTTTTTCTTAAGATGTTATGTTTTAAGGAAGTATATTTCAATAAACAAACTCTTCACAATATACTTCATTTTTTTTATTATATTTACATATTTGTAGTTATGTATATATTTATATATTCACAAGTCTATTATTATCACACTCTTAGTGGATCACAACTTTTCCCATGGGAGGTTTTCTGAATATACAACTACAGCAGTTTTATACAGCAAACTATGGACACGAATGGTTCATGCTGAGGACCAGAACCAGTAAAGGTGGGACCCAATATGAAGCTTTATATATTTTAGGTGTATTTGCCAGACACTTAACAAGCAGTAAGCAATCACATGTTGTTAGCACCAAAAGCTCTATTACCATTTTTACTTCAACACTGATCCTGACATCTAACAACTTAACATAACAAACATAAATATCACAATGTTAGGAGAAAATAAAAGCACCAACACCTGCTTTCTCTGGTGACTGGGCAATGTATGGTTCATCCTTAGCACGCCAAAATTAAAAGAATGAAAGGTTGGCACAAGCAATGTCATTTAAGCCTGCAGTTTTAATAATATGCTATTTACATCCATTATCATTAAAATTAACAAGGTGCCCAAAATCCCCTTTCCTCTCTAATATGCATTCTGGGAAATTCCTTGAAACATTAAAGCACCTCATCCCAATAGTCTGATACTACTAAGATCGATACTGTTATCTGGAGGTAGTTACATCTACAAAATTGAATGGATATAAATATCAAATTTCTGCCTAATATTTTATCAAAACAATACCAGCATATGGGGGACATATCACACATTCAATAATGAGCTACACAACCACAGAACTGTTATGAGAAGTGTCGTTTTCCCCATTACACAAAATCAAACTATTATCTCAGATTGTGATCCAAGGTCAAGCTATTTTACAATGCAGGTAGCCAATTGCAAACATTAAGAACCATTCCAATTTCATCTACATTTGAAAGACAAATTCATAAACTTGATCAGGACTTCCATTTCATATGTGCAGTCGTGGTTATGCAGGACAAGTGGTAAAAAATTTCTTACAGTTTCAGTTTGCATTTATTTACCTTGTCTCGAAAGGATCAGATATCTTTTTTTCTAATCACTACATCTTTTGAATAAGAGAAAAATGTATGTCCACACTGTGTGCCACATCCGTATGTGTTAATCATATTTCCTTGTCTCATTATACACTTAATGTCCCAAAGTATTGTTTCATACCAAGGTAACCATAAAATAAACCTCAAGAATATTGACACTTGGTTAAACATTACTTTCATGTAAAAATAAAATGGGAGACAATCAGCTTGTGCTTCTCTCCATCTATCAACTACACACAAATAAATTATATTCTTCTTTGGTAAACAACTAAAGCCTTGGGCTTCATAAATGTGCACAAAATTAACAGTTAACATATGGAAGAACTTGTAGATAAAGCTGGATTGCAGCATGTCATAAACCAAACCTTTATCTCAGATAATTAAATTGTGCACTTTTTTAAAATCATGCTTTCAAATTGCCAATGTATAACACTTAAATAATATCACTGATATTTCACAGAAGTTTTGTGTTGTTGTTATAACATTAAGCAATATGAAAAGTCACCCAGGTCAGATAAAAAAATCTAGGTCAACAAATGTTTCTTTCACAATTATTCATGATCCTGAGATATGACCTTCATATTTTCTTCTCATTCCGTCTCTAGACAGCTTAGACACTGCCCAGAAAGTTTCTGCAAAGCATTATGCCTGTGACAACACTGCTAAGCTTTTAAGCATTCCAGAAACAAAGATAGCATGTGTCAATTCAATATTGACTCCATTAGCAATGTTGTAAAATTTAACAACCGAAGTTGTATCACAGACAGGAATGGCCTTTTTCATCTGTTTGAAACGGAGGGCCGAGCAAGTCCTCTCTGTGTCAATCCTTCAAACCTTTTGAAAGTATAGTTGATAAAAACCCAGTCTTTATATTTGGAATCTTCCTGTGCTTGCTGCTCTGTTGCTGTAAAGGATAGAAAAAGAGGCCATTTTACTATACCAGAAAGAAAGAGGACTTCGAAATATTGTGGTGAAAAATACTATCATTGACCATATATGCATATGTTAAAAACATGAAAAGCATACTTGAATTACAAAATGCAAACTTACGCCATTTGAGATCTATTTCAGGAAATTCGTCAAAATTTGACGTGTCATCTATACTTTTCACTGCTATTGGTATTGCAGCAGGTCGCTCTCTGGAAATCAAATTAAACCTTATTAGCTATCTAAAGATTACAATTAAGCTTAATGAAGTTATTTCTTCACACTATAACTTTATGTATAAAATGAAATTCTTGAAAACAAACCAAAAAAAATTAATGCCAAGAGACAATGATCATTGGTCTTACAAACATAAGTGAAAAGTACAAATGATCTGACTGCTACATAAGCTAATAAAGAGTGCCTTAAGTGTTACCTGATGTGTTCCCAATCAACTGTGCTAAAAAATGGTGCTTTTTTGATTTCGTCTATGTCTGTGGCACCAATCCTGTGCTCAGAATCACAGCAGAATCTAAAAGAAGAAACAAGGCAGCAAAGCTGTCAAATGTACAGACAAAAAGCAGGAAATAACTATGCACAAAATAGGCTACTGTCAATTCTGATGCAAAAGTACATTATGTTAAACTGCAAATTCAACATCAAATTTTAATTATGCTCAACAGGTAATACCAATGTAAGTAAAACATGTAACAAGCATAAGGCTTCAGGCCCATGGGAGTTCAAGTTCACACTTTGAAAATGTAGAACTTCCAGAAAAAGAAGCCAATAAGACTACTTTTCCAACTAAGGCTGCATTTTAGTCCTGCATTTCTTTTTTGAACATTTGGCAATCATAAGTAACATGGTTTTCCCATAATGNATGAAATATACATAATGTATATATCAATCCTTTCATTGACAAAGACAACTTGGATAAATCTTTGATCATGAACTGATTTTAAAGAACTTGAAATGTTTCTGAATGGTGAAACCTTAAATGAAAAAAAATCCTTTTCATTATTCATTTTTGAGCGAGCTTAGTTCCACTTGCAAGATTTGAGTGAATGGCCTACCTTAATATGAGGTCTTTGGCCTCTGTAGAGATGGGCACCTCTGGAGGAAAGATGAGTGTCTCTCGCCAGTTCATCACCTTCCTGTATGTCTCCTGGGGATTCTCTGAACAAAATGGAGGATAGCCTGGAAATGAAAACAATATAGATATATACATGGATATATATACTGGCTGGCATGTACCAATAATTTAACATGGCATCATCAGGGACAGCAGTGTAGGACATCACATGAGATTAAAAGAAGTGCATGAATCCACATGAAGTGGAGTCAACTTTGAAGAAAATCAGGATGAAACACTATGCAGCTGGAGAGACAGGGAAGAAGCAACACAAAAGTGATGTGCAAATGATGACCCATTTGTACTGTTGTGTATCAGACTGCAATTCAGCAAAACCCAAGAGAAAACAACCCAAAAAAGTCCATGGATGAATTCTGTAAGCTTTTATTTCTTGCGACACCACACTCACTAGTCTATCAATATTTCTGGCTACAATCTTCTCTAAATCTTGTGAAATCTTGTTTGATATTTTTCACTAATACAGGACACTTGGGGTTACTTCACTGTTATAAAATTCTTTTTTCCTTGAAGGTTGCATAACTCCCAACAAAATATAAGGTTTGACTCCAAAGCTAGTCATGAATATTCTCCTTATAATGCTGCAAAGTCAGGTAAGTTGATGGTACGTAAAGAGGAGTTTGATCACACTTTTGAACCTAAACACTTTTTGAAAATCAGCAATTCATCATAAATCTCTTAAAATATTCCAATTGTGTCCAAGAACTTACCTATTAACATCTCATACATGATAACCCCTAATGACCACCAATCACATGTGTTAGCGTAGCCCGTTTGCATAAACACCTCAGGGGCAATGTAGTCTGGGGTACCTACTGTAGAATATGCCTGAAAAAATGGACATGCCCATAATACTTTACCTCAACTGATGTGCTGCCCTACTTATATATAATGTAGTTTTACAAACAGTTCAAATGAACACTGTCAGTATCTGGATGTAATCAGGCCTCAAATATTGCTGGACTTAATGCTGGTTTATATGTAAACATTAACCTTTTTATCTCTGAATTTTTTCAAAATAAAATGAAAGAAAAAGAGGTTGAGATTACCAGTGCCCGTCTGTTTCTCTTCCAACTTTCATGTCTTCTTTTTGAATCCATGTAGTTTGAAGCTGAAATATAAGGATTTATTTTTGAGTCCCGTATCCCTTAATGCTACTACCTCACAGTCATTTTAGTCAACAGACACTTGAATTATAAACAAATACATGGTATACCTATGATCTAACTGTAATAAGATTCCATTTTTTAAAAAAATTTTTTGTGATATGTGTATTTCTAATACTTACAAAAATCACTTGGTTTGGCTTGTGATAAGTCTTTGTAGTAGTCTGTTCTATGTGCAGCCTTCAAACCAGTACATAAACCAAAGTCTGATAATTTTATATGACCCTAAAATCAACAAAATAAAATACTTTATCTATATAGGGCACTTAAATAAATATATAACAAGAATTCAATCTCTTCTTCGTTCTGCCTGGAAATCAAAACCAAAAACTTCTCTTATTTTGAAAAAATGTGCCACAATATTGTTTTAAATAGCTTATAACATTTACATTAAAAATGCACGATAAAAGTCAATGTTTGCGGCTCAAACACAATCCTTATCATATCATATCCTACCTTTGAATCTAATAATAAGTTATCTGGTTTTATATCTCTGTGAATAAAACCAATTTTGTGTATGGCACCAATTGCCAGCACTGTTTCTGCTACATAAAACTGTGTCTGCTCCTCTGTTAGAGTGTCTTTTTTCATAAGCAGTGTCATCATGTCTCCTGATAAAAAAAAAATGTAAGTCAACAATTAAGGAATATACATAATAATCAACTGTTAGTAAACAAATAAAGACGTTTAATTGCTCAATGAAGTTGAAGGCCTTCTTTTCATTGAAGAATGCCTCCTTATTAAAAATGCACCAAAATAACACTCATGTCAAAATAGCTCCTGGACAAAAAAGCAATACAGTTTGTTTAGGTAGCCCCACAAATGGCATTGCATCACTTGGAAGTACTCCTAATGAACAAGAGAGCCGTATGCTACTCTACAGGAGTCAGTTGGTACATCAACACAAGATTGATATATCTACTGGGGAAATAAGCTCTAGACATTCTTGGCAAGGTACCATAACCCAACCATTAAGAACATTCATCTTCCCTGATTGAAGTCAGCACAATGAATTTAACCAAATTTCAGAAATTCAGTTACGCCATAGACTTAACAACCCTTCTTAAATGTCAAGTTCGTTTAAGCTCACAGAAGCTGAGTTTAGCATAAAGATTTACTGCCGTAATTCTCACTCTGATGAAACCTTCAGTGGAATCCTGGTGTGCCTGTCTGTGGGATACTAAGAGCTTGATTAGCTTCATCACCAGATTCCAGGAAATATCACTTGTAGCCATGGCACACACATATACAACTGGGCTTACTTTGTATTAACTATTCTAATCACAATGAGCCTAGGAATTAATCACTAACCTGCTACCAAGACAACCAAATTTAAAAAAATTTTTTTTTATAAAATTCTGCATTTGTTACAGATATTCATATTATGAAAGCCTTTTCTCCTCACCTCCTGGCAGGAACTCCATTATGAGGTAAAGATTCTGTGCATCTTGGAAGGAATAATACATCTTGACCACCCATTCGTTGTCTGCGTCCACTAGAATATCGCGCTCTGCACGCACATGTGCAATCTGAAAACAAAAGGAAAGGGAGATAAAATCAAAGTTATGTCAGAATTTATCCTTTAACTGAAATAAAACTAATATCACAATATGCCTTTTATGTCAGCAATTTCTTCCAATTAATGATAATTTTTTTTTAAATATCTTAAAATGTTAATACACATCAATTCATTCTTTATTATCTATTAATTTTACACAGAACTGAAGTATGAGTAAATAAGTTTCATAAGAAGATGCAAAATTAAAGATCCTAAGAGTCATGTCCTGGCAAAGGGTATTTCATGTGGGAACAACATTACAAGGGATAAGGTTCAGCTTTTTAACACAATTTTCCCCTTACCTGTTCTTTTTCTAGCATGTCTAGTTTTCTAAGTATTTTCATAGCGTAAACATGACCTGTATCTTTCTTTTGTACCAAACGCACCTAGAAAAACAAACCAATTTAAGACATATATATACATTTCACAAGATCACAGAAATAATCAAACCTACCCTTTATCCTCCTCTCAGAGATATCATTAATTTGACTACCTAACTTTGAAGAAAAAATATGTGGCTGAGTATTCTAGATTTTAACATTAATTTTCTTTCTCTCTCACTGAGCTTGTAGTGCTCCCCTTGAGTCTATCTGTATCAAAGGATTCCTGATGGGCATGGCTACAGTTAATGTTCACACATGGGTTTTTAAAATGTTCCTTTGATGATAGCTTTGAAGATTTTAATTTACTAGTTTTTCTCTAATATTTCTTCTACCACCATTACAAAGGAAAAAAATTGTTTTCAAATGTTTTTTTTTCCCAAAATTAGGAAACCTGGATCCTACTTTGCCATACCCAAGAAAGGTGGATCAAAGTTGTTAATTTTCAAAGAGAGGAACAATTGTTGCGCCCATAAGCTTCACGCTCCTTTCTATTTTAGATCTATCCAACAATGTCCATCTATATGTCAGCACCCACTCCCAAATAAACCCACCTGCCTAATTTCTGTTTTATGATCCCCATGGTCATAAATGATAAAGCAGAATGGACCCTGTAGATGAACAAGCTGGTAGGTTTAATAAATAAAGACCACACACCTGTTTACTGTTCTTGCTTGCTGTGCTCATCTATCACATATCAAATATCAATTTTTGAACTTTTTTCCCCTTTACCACTAGCTGAGAATCAACCTGAGTGTGTTTCTCCCTTGCAACAGCAGTATTTTATCTTTTCTCATATTGCACGAGTGATTCAGTTCTAAGGTTAGTTCTCATACTGTAAGTATACTTTACTCAGTAAGTTTTTTTTATTCACATCATGTATAATAATCAGTATTTAACCTGCTGGTTTTAAATAATTCAGCAACCACCATGATCATGCACATATATACCTAGAACATTGACTGCTTATTTACTGAGCTATCTAAACCAGCATACATCAACTGTGATGTTGCAATTTTAAATAATTCTCTCCCAGGTTAAAAAAAATGCCATTCAGTAGAAAGTTTCATGTAAATTGAAATGATAACCTTAAACAACCATAATCTTGAATTTATCATTGATAATAGTTGAGATACATCTAGAATACATTCCCTATAACCACACAACAAAATATGAAAAACAACTTCAAGAATTTGATAACTAGCACAAATCCTTTCTAAATCATAGTGCAAATTAATCCTTTCTTCATGTTATTAATTTCTTCCTAGAAACCATCAGTACTATTCTATACACTACCATGCTTTATTATCACTAGACTACCTACTAAACACAGCATCAATATTTTCTTTTTGAATGGAAATATCATATGTCAGTCCTTTTACTCTCCACAGCTTTATCACTTTGCTGACCATCTATTGAAGAAAAATTGTTCGACATAGAATGATACAACCACAAAGAACTGCCATAATGTGATCACTTGATTGACTTACCTCTCCAAAAGCTCCCTTTCCTATGACTTTTAATGGTTCAAAATCATCAACACCTAACCGTGATCTTTTAAGACGCAAAAATTCTGTTTCTTTCAGTGCATGCTGCTGCCTTTTTTCTTGTTTCTGAAAGTTAAAATTAAACATTTAACATAATTTTGTGTGAGAATTGGACGGAGTTTTGAAAAAAAAAAGAGCTATAAAAGTGACTCTATTTTGCATTACACAGCTACATTTTTAATGCACAGCAATATGAAGACATATGTGAAAACCATACTGCTCATCAATGAAATGCTTCCTACATATCTTGTTCCAGATTTTCTCTATCTCACCTGTTCTTCTGAGAGACCCTCATCCTCCATTGTCTGTTCCAGTTTACGATATCTGGAAAAATAAAGAATAATATATGTACTAGTAAATCTATGCTGGGATTATATTTCTTCCATCAGAATTTCACTCGTTATGAGAGATACATTTTCATCCAGTCTACCTATTTTATGCTTAACTTGAATGTCAAAGAATAAACAGTTTGAAAAACTGACAACAAACACAACATGGAGCATCAACTATAAAATACAAAACCATATATTATAATAATAAGAAGAACTAATTTTATTAAAACACTGCAACTTAAAGGTTATAGATGTACAGGTGAACGAGTTCAATAAAAATTATAAAATAAAATATTTACATGAATTAAAGGATTTACACTACAATCAAACTGAGTTTGAAATAAAACACAAAGGTATTAAAGTGTTTTTAAAATGTTGGGTCTTGAATTTTGGTACACTGAAGTTGGATTGGTTATGTCTTAGCTTTCTGTGTGTTCTGGAGGTTTAAGAGGTAACTTAACATGTCCTTGTCATTTTTTATTTTCTTGAAGATAGATTTGCATAGTTCTATGCACTGCTTTTCTAAAGTGACAAGGTTTGCTTTTAGCAAAGCATCAACATAAGATAAATAAAAAATATTATTCTGAGCACCCTTGACAAAATAGATTCTGTTATACTGCAGTGCTCACTGCTCACTGGTTAACCCAATGTGCCACATGGGAGAATCATAGACTGTATTCCCATAGATTTAGATTGATCCATCTAGATCGACGTAACTCCCTGGGGGTTCACGCTAAATTGCTGTCAGCTGAGCGTGCACGGTAGTTACTAGTAGTTACCCCCTTAGAGCTTTTAGTAGGCGGGACAGACATTTTAGCAGGCTAAGCTGAGAGTAATCTAGTGAGACTCCCCACAGGGATAGATCGATCTAAAATCTGTGGGAATGGGGTCTTATTCAACAACAGAGCAAATTTCACCTTGATACACCTGTACAAGATCTGGTGAGGGCAACAAAGTGCAAAAGACTCACAATCAGACACAGTGCTACAGTAGACAACTTACGTAAGTATATTTTTAACACATAAAACTATCATACGCATGCTTTTATGGTACTTTACAGATTTTAACTATTTATTTTATATTTGCTATACAGTAAGCTTTTTCCTCAGGATAAGTCTGTAGCAACATTGCTCAGTGATTAACTTATTAGTATGCTGATTTATAGTGTTCATTTTCTAAGATTGACTTCTGTTAGATCTGAACAGTATGCTAGATACAGTCAGTATTATTGAATTAAAGGTTACATTAAGGCCTTCAGTACCGCTACATATGGCATGAAACTGTTCTACACAAAAGCTAGGATGCTGACTACAAACCAATCAACATGTTTAGTAAGTTTCCTTTTCTTTCTTTCTTTTCTTTATTTTTTGCTAAAATATCAATAATCAATCAATCAATTCCCAAGCCCCCCTCTCTCTCTCTACATCATATACTTATTCTTTCTCTTTGGGAACTGAGATATGGAAAAGGAGACAACTTTTCATCAGTTAAAAAAAGACTTGCCTAGTGCTTTTTATTTACTTTAATTAAAAAAAAAACTTAAAGAAGGAAGTAAAAGGAAAAAGGACAGTCATAAAAAGAAACTGTACCCATTAAAATAACTTATATCAGCATGAAAAGGGTCAAAGTAAACAGTACAGGTAAAAATGAAGGCAGGCTTTGTACACAGTGAAAGTTTAAATTTATGACTGAGGTTTAAGGTAATAACACACCTTATGCACTTGTTATCTCACATCCAGTAAACATGCTATTAGCAGAGCAGAACAACCTATTTTTAACACGGGCCTAACCTCAAAATGATGGAGTCCTAACCAATCTCACACTTTAATTATTTCAGATATCTACTGCCTCATTGTCAGTTGACAAAAATATAATTTACTACAGCACTACCTTGGTAGAAAGACATGCTTTGGTGCATATTTCAAATGAAAAGAGATTTCCACAATACAATGGTGGAAATAATATGGTTAGAAATTTCACTACAATCGTGACTAGTCTATAACTTTCTATTAAAAACCACAGATCATGCCTGCTGTTTACATATCAAAGGTAAAATTTCACAATGTATCCTCCACTTTCCAATTTGTATTTCCTAGGCATGAGTCAGTTCTGATGATTTGTTAAACCTGTGCAACAACTTCCCTAGTAGTATTGATAGATCCCACACCGTACCTGCTTTCTCTCTCCTCATGTTGTGCTATTAAGTTGGTATAGTAGTTCTCTAGGGTCACTTTGGCACGGGTCACTTTATCAGCTGTGTGGGGACTGACCGCTACCTGTTCCCCAATGGCGGTCATCTTTTTAGAACTCTGTAATGAAATACAAAGAAATACTTGACCTTGTAATCAAAACAAAACACAAGTCTTAGGTTGAGGGCTGATCTTAGTAGCTGTCAAAACAAACTGGGAACAATCAGATCTATAACATTTCTAGCTAGCAAACAACATATTCCATTTAATAACAAACAAAAACCCACAGGAACAAATTCTATTCATCCCTGTACTCATGTTTTTTTTTTTTTTTCAAAAAAATTGCAATTAATAAAATCTACTTATTTTTACTGTAAACTACTCTGATATCGTGCAATTTGAAACATACAGGCACCCACTTATCTCCTGGCAACACCTACATCTTACTTCACAACTATCAACCTTTTTCTCAAACTTGCACCATTATACAAAACACATGTGAATGTTTTTGCAGAGAAAGAAGTGTATATAATGGTTGGCATTGGTAACAGCATACATTTGGTTTCTATCAAGTCCACTTCACCTGAAGTGACTTCTATGGCACTGTCTGGGCTGTCTGATCAATGTTCACTCCTTGCCACTTAAGTTAACCAGGCATGGTCTAGGGTGTTTACAAAAAAACCTTTAACTTCTCTGTTAACCATGTGGTAAACCAAGGTTGGTCACCTCATGAACATTTACATGTGTTAAATTGAGATACAAATCTCAAATAGGAAATTTATCCATATAGCTAAACAGCACACTAAGTTTTAGAAAACGCATACATATTATCCGAATTGCCCATTTTTTTTTTTTTTCAAGGTAATTAACTAGGTATATCTTGAGCAGACTTGAAAGGCCATTGGTGTGTAGTTCAGCCTGTCTCTCATACACTGATGAATTCCAAGTGCACAGAATAATACTCGTAAAATTTATCATTTAAATTTATTGCACTTCAAGGTCTCAAGCATCAAGCTTTCAATATGAAAAGAAGATTACTGGCACTTGAATTGTTTATTCATTCATATTCATAGGTTTCAACAATAGATGCCAATTTCCCTGGAGCTATCTTGTCATAATGGCTGGCATTGTGGATGAGAGCCCAGAGGTGAACTGCCAATATCTGTTCAAACCAGAAGACTCGTAAAATGTGTTTTTTAAATCAAATTGGTTAAGCCCATAAGAAGGTGACATGTGCATTACTTCAGTTTCAGTGGAGGCAAGGTTTCTGCTTAGTGGGTATCATAACAAGACCCTAGACCTGGTTATTGCATTTTTAGTTCATTAAGGAGCAACATTTAGCTGTTAGAATGAATATTATGTTCCGTTTGTGCGAAATAATGGGTTTTGTAACGTAACACAAAAAGATGCAATTGCAAGCAGCAAAAGAAACTGCTGGAATGTATTCAATACTCAAGGCAAAATATTGCGTTGCAATGGCAATGGTAAAAAGCTATAAAAGATAGCCGTGCTATATTGATTAAAGAGTCATAAATATAATAAGTAAGTAAGCACACTTGATCTCCTAATCTACCTGTGCACAAACTTTCTATTCAAACAACCTTGCTCAATATTCCACGGAGCAGTTTAACTTAGTTAACAGAGTTCACATAACAATGATTAGAGTTAGCATATATTCAGCTAGCTGTGGTTGTAGGACATCCAGAAACAAGACTATACGATTTGTTAGGAAGAACCAGTCCTACTAGTTGCAGCCAAAAACCTATTCACTGGGCTTCAGTCAGCTGCCATGCATACAATATACCAGTCAATAGCAACACTTGAATTGGTAATGAACAACAACAATTTCAACAAAGCTCAATCAATTTAACAGACATACAATCAGGATACATGGTGATCAATCAGATATAGACCTTATTTGAAAGATTGGGTGAAAAACATGGAATAAACACCCAACTGAACCAATTCAAGGGGATTATCAGTGCAGAACAATCCGTATGAAAGCTTTATAGCTCCCATATCTATTTATTTATATACAACACTCACTTACCCATTGTTAAAGAAAAATATTGACAGCCACTCATTTACATACAGAACACAATTGCAACTTAACCTTTTAAACCAAGTTGAACACGGGACAAAAAGTTGACCTTCACTGTATTAAACACCTGAAAGGTTAAACACACACACAGGTTTTAAGAAAGTATTCAATTTTTTTAACAATACCAAATACAAACACCAGTTTGTTACAAACACAGAAGTAGCACGCAAACTAATTTCCAAGCATTTGTTATTCTGTTGACAGCTCTATTCACTGCAATTTACCTGAAAAATGAACTTCAGTGATGAAAAAAGATCTTGAATACACTCTCTTTAAAGGTAAACATCTCCAAGAAAATGCCTGGTAAACGCCACAGTATGGACAATTTCCTGCACAATCACGGAAATTTAGAAGCTGCAACCAGACATCCAAGACATCCCTTAACCACCACAAAATAATGCCGCTTTGTGCCAGTAGATCAATTTCTTTTAAGTGTCTTTGTGAGTCATGTCTCTAAGTTACAACACTAACACATGCCAGACAGGGTAAACCCTTCAGGCAGCCAAGTTTACTTAATGGAATTATTTAAATGTGCATGCAGACTCCATTTAATTTAAACCGATGTTCTTAAACTACATTTTCCCTATACTACAACCCATTTAATGGAAGTCTCAAGAAAACACTATAAAGTTTAAAATGAAATCCACATCCACTATGTTTAAATGAGCTCCTCAGCAAAACACGTGTATCTTAAGGCTGTAAGTGGTCACTATAAAAAGTTGTTTTGTCGATAACAACCATTAGTGACCACCATCATGTGTAATTTGTGATAACAATTTCCAGGCACCGTGACACTAGGCTTACTCACGTGTTAAAACATACCTTCACTGAACAGATGAAATGTTACAACTCTACAACCATATCTGTCAAGTTCTCTTGACATGCTGACATATCAAAATGACAACATCACTATTGGGAAAAGGCACGTTTTGCGTTTGATAAATGTAGAGTGTCATGGAAGCCTAGTTAAAGGAAAAAAGGTACTTCACGGCCTTCAATTTCTTATGTGGTAAATCTGTCATAGATCTCAGACATTAAATGAGTTTGCATTTATCCAAGGGTATAATTATGTGACTAGGGTCTTTAACTGTCTGAGGACACGTTCGGAGGATGACACACTTGTAGCTCAGGTTATAAGTTCAGAACACACACTGAAAAACCTTGCTTAAAAGCTTTCCAATTTATTTTTTTTAAGAATGAGTCATTTAGCTTACCTTGAACATTTAACAAGAGAGAACCTTCACCAGAAAGCTTGACTAACAGTAAGCATATCAAACACAAGCGACAGTAACATCATTTCCCCTAAACAATCATGCATATCAACTACATGTAAAATCCAATGTATAAGATCATACCTTATCATGTCTTTTCCCTAGACCCATGTGCTTACCAAATGGGCACATTTTGAATGAGATGTGATTGTGACTGCTCTCCACCTCCATGAACCTAGTGAATATAACAGTCCTGCTCAGTGACGTGGAGAGTTCACCTGCTGCTGCTGCTGTTGTTGCAATATGCTGGCTTATCTTATCAGCGCTGCACAGCCAATCAATGTTTGATCTCATAGGCCCACCCGCCAATTTTCTAAGTATAGGACAAGTCAATGTTGACACACAGGTAGATTGAGTGGCGCTCTAATCAATTTTCCCCCAGGACCTATGCCCAGGTTAGAGGTCCTTCCTTGATAAAACTCCGCATAAAATACACACCATGTGATCATGTGACTTATCTGACAGGTATCTCCTGACCAGCTGTGCACAAGACAAGTTAGTAGTTGCGATTAGAGCCACCGCTTTTCAAAACTCAATGTCATAAACTGTGTCTCTTCGTCCTCTAAGCAGGATGTGGATGCTGATTCCTTCAACCACTACCATATGCAGTTTACTCATTAGAATTCACCTGACCTTGCCCATTCATATGCTAATTAACTACACACAAAAGCTCCATAAAAAAAGGTGTTTGTTTGCGTCAGGTTAATATTTCTATCACGTAGGTACGACCCTACTTTTCCACTTTGTCACCTAATGGTAACTTCTGGATATACATCAGCTAATATTAAAGTCTGACGTTTTTCCCACTAAGATTCTCATTTGGAAGTTATCAAGAATCTTTTTCGTATTTAGATCACATAAGGGCACAAAACTTAATCCCAAGACTTAAAATGTATTTGTCTGCAATTGCCCATAAATAATACAGATGGAATGGCTGACCCCATGATCAATTCCATCATCTGTCATCCACTGCTATTGCTGCTCCATAAAACACAATCACAAAAGATTATATACCAATTATTCAAGCAGATATTAAAGACAATCTAATGTTTAGTATTACAGTCACGAACAGGCCATAGTGGAAGATTTAGTTTTCCCTTCACGTCATAGACTCATGTAGATTTTATCTACCAAAATCCCAACCACGACCACAAACCTGATTATCTTTACCATCTTCTATATCCGTGTCCACCAGCATTTCATAATCACACTCATTTATTTGGACGGACGCATAAACTGACTGACAAAAGTTCATGGCGAACAAGGCATGTAGAGCAGATTAAAAATGTGATAACTTTTGTTATAATTCTGGTCAACACTGTTTATGCAAATAAACTACATTTTCATATTCCCCTTGCAGGTGTGGCATTCTTTTAATTACTGTATCAATTTAAAATATTCTGTACCACTGCTCAAAAGCATTTTAAAAGCTGTGGCAGACATACCGTCTCATTGATGACAATTTTATAGTCTGACATGAAAGTTTTATAACTTTAACAGTGGTTGATCTTATTTTATTGGACTATTTAATATACTGCTATTTTAATTAACCCAACAGTTATCAAAATACCTATGTTTAGATTTATCTTTATTCTCGTGCATATGAATATATTATCCCAACAGATGTTTATTATACAGTATAAAGTGAGAGCAGGAGCAATATTACCTCCCATATTTAGTTTGTCAATTGTTGACTGTATAGATTATATTGCCTTGGCAATAGAATTCCAATTCTTGTCATAGTTCTTAATGTTTGCACACGCTATGGAACATCAGCTGGCAAGCATAACAACATTCTTGGTGAGGTGACCCCAAATGTTGGCTGTAGAGCTTGGAAACAATGAGCACCACAAAATCCATGGTTTTACTACTACACTAATTAAATTCGCACTTAACTGTAATTGTTAACTTCCATTTTAATTAAATAAGGGAAAAATACCATAATTTACTAGTGGCAACATAAAAATAGGATGTATACATATATTCAAATATGATCATCATATCTTTATGGTTTTTCTTAACATATCCAAAAGATTTTGCTACATCACAACACCATCTTTTCATTCATATAATTGGTAGTGCTGGTATTTTTCTACTTCTTCTAAATGTTGTTTTTTACTTGCATTCTCATTACTGTGGTTTAATAACAAAATATCACTCAAGTGCATAACAGTGTTTCATCTATAGTATTCTAAAGGTATAATTTTGTCTTCCCTAACACTCACTAAGGGGGAATAGGTCACACATACAGGAACTTTAATAAATAGCCTAAGAAGGTGAATTTCACATCCAAACACCTAGGTCAAAACACCTGCTCTCTTCAAGCATATAAAGACCACATTCATGACAGTTTTACCAAAGGCTGAGAAAATGACACACTTAAACACAAATAAAGCTAAAACTACAAGATTTTACACTGTTACAGGATAAATTTATAATCAAAGAGCCTTTTTGCCAATGGCCTTCTTGCTGGTCCTATGTGGGATACAGAAAAAATCATGCAAAGTTTGGTCTAAGTAAAGGTTTACCTGTAAAACAATATAAAAAGTCTGTTGTTGTATGCAAGGTAGAAAAAGAACCATAATGCAGCAATTATGATATTTTTTCATGTCTCGCACCTATTAAGCATATTACACTCGCTGCAAAAAGTTAATGTGCATTGTCTCAATGCAATCGAGTCTAAGTGCGAAATGATACCATTTCATGGCAGCAAGGGTGCATTTTAGGGTACTTTTAATGCTCACTTATACCAACCAAGTTTGACCCACTAACATTTCCCATGTTTTTATCAGCTTATCAAATGTAAGTTACAACTAAGTTATAATTATGATTTTTAAAGAGGTATACATGGCTTAGATTTGACTTAGTCTGCTGTATATCATAACACAATATAGGGCATGATATGTTTTGGTTGACATTTTATCATTACTGATATATATGTGTAAGATATCAAAATTTAGAATTCTTCAATCTGCCAGGGCAGGGTTTCCAATAGATTTTAAACTAATAAAGCTGGAGGCAGTCTTAAACTCAACTGACAAATAAGGGTCACTGCAAAGCCACAGCATTCAAGTACATCACAGTGTACTTCTATTGCTATCATACTGTCTCACTGGAATGGAAATTTGTAAGAATAAAAACTGACATATTTAAGGATGTAATAATTGTGATAGTATGTGTATCATCTTAAGTGATCAAAACCGCTAGGCTATACAGCTTGAGGCAAAGAATTTATTCAACTGTCTTCACTCATTTTCTTCTGAAACACTGAAAATTGGAGTGCAAATAACACCATAGGCTTTGCAAGGCATTGATTCAGTACATACAAGACATTATGTCCTGAGTCAGGTCTAACTTTTGCACCATTTTTCACCACCTGATAAGAAAAATACCAAAATATCAAAGCACTTAGCCACTTGACGAGAAGCTTAGTTTATGCCTATCGTACAAGTGGAACTTAACAGGCATTAATAACTTAAATTTAGAGAATATTTCAGGTTTTCTGTATTTAGAGAATTGCCCCCAGTTATTTTTTACCTCTAATAAGATTGCCCAAAACCAAATATAAAATGCAATACAGATTAGTGCAGCAGCCAATATATACTGAGCACCTGATAACATCCCTTGATCAGAGGGATATGGCACGTCTCACCATCTGGTATACTACTTTTGACTATTATATAAAACATGACTGACAGGGATTGAACAGTTATCCAAGCCACCAAAGGAATCAATATGATAAATTAGATGGAATAAATGGAATAAATTAGATATATTGTCTTTTTCAAGCTTTTATAGCTTGAAAAAGACAATATATCTAATTTATTCCATGCACACACATATTATTCAACTAAAGCAATATGGTAATACTTTTTAAAAGAAAAATTTCATTTACTACAGTATTGAACCTTGTAAAAAGCAATATTTTGGCAATAAGGATAAAGACACATGTACAATTACTGAGAGAGAACTGACACAAATTTAGCCCATGTTGCAACTTGTAACATAATCAGTTTAAAGGTATGACAATGCGCCTGATACCAATACTAGACAACATACCAAACTGGAATTATCATCGATTTTGCACTTTTTTCATTCAACCAAATGCTGTATCGTACATAACACACAACTCCACTCAAAGAACTGATCACTTAATCAAATGGAATTGTCATACCTACTATCAGTCAGAGTATTTCGAAAAAAATATCTAACTTCAAGGCTGTAAACCCCCGTTTGAACGTCTGTATCTGACAAGTTCTGTCAAGTCCGCTTCCACAATAAAATTCCCTTGCTCATCCACAAGTGCCAAACAACCCCTAGTTCATCCGCGAAAATAAATCGCTTCATAAAATAGCACTCATTTAGAATGACACTCACAGTACTGGCTGACATGACAATAGCATCTTAGACAGATTCAAACACTACAGATTTGTTTTAATAGCTTCAGTGTTGGTTCAAGTTTTGTAAATGACAGAGACATTTTAAGATGAACGCGGACGGATATTTTCTAAAAATAGAATATGCCATAAGAAAGCACATTTGTGCCATTTTCAAAGATTTTATGATTTCCACAAATTACAAAGCTTTGCTATGTATCTGTTAAGTAGCATTATATAATAAAAAGTTAAATGTGTGCTATTTTTTTATTAACAAGTCCAATTATCTCCCGGCATGCAAATGTCTGTCTGTGGGTCTGCATTTCCGGAAACACACAAGTGTTATTTTTATGCTAATAACTGATTGATTACTCTCGATTCCTTTTCTGCCAAGACATTGCGGTCTTTATTTTTCTGTTGCAATTGCTAACGTGCTTCGATAATAATGCACCTGTGTCAAGCGTAAGGGCTTAAAATTATAATTGGTGAACATAATGACGGACTTGACAGGTCCTTTAATAGTATTTACATGCATCTTTCTTTAAAACTGAAAGTGAAAGTAGAGTGAATCTCAGACCGAGTTGACAAAAACTGGACCGATTGTATAAAGCTGTGATATACTTAAACAATAGTATTCATCTTTTAATGTCCAGAATTGGCATTCTGTAGATGTAGCAAGATTTTAAATTATAATTATATGATAAATAATGCATGGAAACAGTATATATATATATATATATATATATATATATATATATATATGATAAATAATGCATGGGACAGTACTAATTCTAACATGAGCTGATATAAACAGTATGAGTTTTCTAACCTCAGTGACCCGATAGTATTTATCGGCCATCTCAAACTTGAGTTAAGTATGCCAAAAACTTTACATGTTATGATGAATATGTTATTAAAAACTTTACTTTGCCACTTTGAATTAACCGAGTGGTGAGCCACACGCCTGTCTCAGCTTTCATGTCCCACAAAATGTTTGAGGAAGGATGTGCATTTTTTAGTTAAAAGAATTATTTTGTAAATTAATAGAAGCACCAGTCGCTTAATATGAAGATTTGTAACAACAAAAATCTCACGCACTGTCCAGTGCACTAGCATATGAGTATGGCTGGGTTTTAGTAGTTCATGATATTCATTAGTTGTGAAGAATCTTTAAATTCTGTGTCATCATGAATCACTAAGTATCCTCTAAAACATGTCTTTTTCCCTAAATTCTCTTGGACAATTTTTTACCATGGTTGTCCAATTGATCAA